AAAAAAAAAAAAAAGATGAAAGAAAAGGCCACTGCTCAATTTGGAAAAGGAATATTGGGTCAAAAGTGGATGTAATGCCACCACGCGGCACAAACGATCTAAGGATTCAACGGAACTTCGCTTAAACATGACTAGACTACTCCGTATGTGCTATCCCTTTCATCTCCGGCAGCGACCTTGCGCTGGGGATGCGCCAGATTATTCATGGCGGCGAACATAAAGTGTCTCGAGCGAATGCGATGCCATGACGACAGGGGACAGGATTCGCTCCTCTGGACCTGAACGGGTCTCGACAGATTAGACCGGGGGGATGTGGAGGGGACGGCGGCAGGTCAACGGACCAGTCAGAAAAAAGCAAGCCCTAAAAAAAATCAAAAATTTTTAAAAGTTGGTCCAAAAGGGTGAAAGCGATGAGAGGAATGAACAGAACAGACAAGACAAGATCAGACAAAGCAGGAGTTAGAGAAGGTCAGAGGGAGGCGGTCAAGAGACGCAATGGGTCCTCGGCGTACATTTCATATAGCTTCCGCATCGGACGATACAAAGGATTTGCAGGGCAATTTTCCTCGTAGCTGCAACTATGTCGGGCACAGGTCGCCGATTACTATAGTGATTGGATCTCGCGCCGACGATGGGCACAGTCTGCTTCCTGCTCCCGGCGTGCTCCGGGGGACTGGCTCTGTCTGTAAGTGTGTATTCCATTTGTTTCTGGTGCGGTTTCACCGCTCAATCTGGCGCAAACCGGACGAACGATAAGGAGCCGAGGGTGGAGCCTATGCAACATGCACGTTGGGCCAATATCGCTAGCCTAGGTCTGTCTCCTCGATCCCCGGTAACAGGCTCGCGGAATTGCATGTTGGTGCAGTAGTCGCCCGAGATACATCGGTGCCGTACCAATAAGTAAATAGTGTCCCCATCCAGTGTCTTATAGTAGGTTTCTGTCGCGGCTATCATGCATCCCCTTGCATCCCATTCGATTGGGAGAAACAAAAAAAAAAAAAAAAAGAAAAAGAAAAAGAAAAAGAAAAAGAAAGATGCTAAAGCTAAAGCTAAAAAAGAAGAGGAAAAGGGCGTAATATCCCGGTAGGGTCCCCGTTAATGCTCGTACTACTGTAAGACCTCATGCATTATGTAACTTGTGGTCCAATAACTGGACATCGCAGCTTGTCTGCTGATGTCGGTGGAATAAATTATTGATGTGATAACGGGTGGGTGCGACATTGAGAATATGCGTTGCGTCTCTTTCACCACTACTGAAATTATTGGTGTGACGACGATCGACAAAAGAAAGAATAATTCCGATAAACTGTAATCCCCCCCCCCCTTTTTCCTTTTGTTTTCCAAATTTTGATAGAGTTGCCCAGTGAAGCAGTCGGGTAGTGTTTTGTTGTTGTTATGGACCCGCCGTCGAGTGGAGATGAATCAAAACATTGGTGTGTCCCAATCTTGGGTCACACATGGTTTTTCTCGACGTGGCTTCTAGTGGGTTGAAAGAACAATCCTAATCATTTTTAGTAGCCATTCTGACCCGCTACCGGGTGGTTCAATGGAGCCGAGGGCGCTCGTTTGGAGCCAAGGCGATCATGACGTTCATACTCATTTCGGCCATGCGGCCCATTTCCCCCGTGAGCTCTTTATCAAAAAAAGGTCCCCACAGGAGGCGCATCAGTGGACTTTTGCTCGCGAAGGACCACTCGCTCCGTCGTGGAGCGTTCCATAGCCGTTTTAGAAGATCCATCGAAGCCTCGACCGAGGATTTAGGGCATCGGTCTGATAATGTACGTCTGTACGGAACAAGTACTATGTATGTACAAGATGATAGATAGATCAGTTCTTGGTCAAACTGCAGTTACCATTTGGGTCCACTTTTGTATTCCTCAGGGTCTGGAGGAGTCGAATTGCAATTGAGGCCGATAGTTGCAGCCATCCGGCATATTGCCTAAATGCTTGTGTCTGTTGTGTTGACTGACCACTACTACGAACGTTGAGGTGCCTCGGCACTTGTCCGGCTGGAGCTCATGACCAAGGCCTGGGTTTCAGAGACACTTCCGAGATTTTCTTACGGGACCAGGGTTTCCATTAGCAAAGGATTTGCAAGGTTGACGCCAACGGTCGGGTAGTGGCTACTTGCGAAGGTTATTTGTGAGAGACCTCGTCAATTATATTGGCGGTCAAATTCCGTCCTAACTTCCGGGGAAAGAGACACAACTCCTAAGGTACCCATGTCAATGGACTAGTCATCGTACTATGTGATAGATTAGCGGCCGCGGTCCCATATTTTGGCGCTAAAAAAGCAACTTTTTTTTTCCCGTCCCAAGCATGACCGGTCCGGTCCAAATCGTGAAGACAACAGTCATAAAAAATACATCATAGGCCACCTGTCGAGGAATTCCTTGGATTGGGCTGCAGTCTGCGTAAAGAGAATGTGTACTCCGTACGATATTGGTGGGGAATGCTGCAGGTTGCAAGAGGCTTGGGAGCGCAGCTCTTCCTTGCAGTACTTTTTACTCCAACCAATCTGGTTCCGGAACGACGGGAAGTCGAGGTAACGATCAGCTCCAAGGGGCCGTCATAAATTAGGGGCTTTTGCACTACAAACTTCACCAAAGACACAGACAAGGGGGCAAAAAACTCTTCCGTAAGAGTTGCGGTGAGACTCCCTAAAACCGGGTGTCTCGTGTAGTTACCCGTTGGCGGTTACGCCGTCCTCGATCCCCTTGTCGGAATCGCTTGTGTGTACGGCGAGGGAAGGGGTGGGAGTCGAGAGTGTTTCCTGGAATTGCTGTTCAGGATATCTTCAACTGATAAGATCGAAGCATGATATGATGCAAGGTCAAAATCTCAGAAAAAGCAAAGAGACCGATTAGCATTGAGTCCCAACTGCTGGGTCACTGTTCTTGGGACACTAAACTTAACTAGCCGTTAAAAGATAACAGGAGGTACCGATCCACGGACCTATGTAAGCTTAAGCTATGTTTAGGCCTCGTGCAGTGAAAAAAAGCAAATAGTAGTCCTGCGTATCTTCTTCCCAGTTTCTCGGGTCGTCGATGAACAGCGGGGGCCTTTCGAGAGATTACGCATGTTTGCTTTTTCCCGTCTTTTCTTCCCTCCTTGCCTATTCTGCTGTCCCTGATGATCACCTGACCTGACTTCTCATGTTGGTTTTCCGTTTGTTGACAGCAGTCACGTTATCTCTCAAGAACTTTTGACCTCCAACAAAACATTCCATTCACACATACACATACCACATATAACATACATACATCCATGCATACATCAAAAAAGATTTGATTTATCAAATTTTTGTGAATTGCCACCTCCTAGATACGAATCATCATGGTGCAATCTGCGTCTCTCATATCGCGAAAACGCGACCTAATCTACTTCATTTTTTTCGCCATCCACCTCCCTATCATTTTCCGTAAATCTCTCCCTCCTTAACAGGCTTCTCCACACTGATATCGGTACATTGGAACAATACTAACGCACCAATCCAGTCATCGACGCAGTCCCCCTTCTCCCCTCCATCCTCCAGACTAACCTTTCCCACCACATCCGTTCCTACTACATAACAACCTACCATGACAAATTCTTCTCGGAGCCCGCTCCGGCGTGGTTCTCCACCTTTATTGCAATGGAACTTGTCTATCACGCACCGTTGAGTCTATGGGCTCTTGGCGCGTTGCTCAGAGGTAAAATAGCCTAATTTTTTTTCTTGTTTTTTCTTTTTCTTTTTTTTTTTTTTTAACCGTCGGGGATGATGGTGATAGTGGAGTGTAATCATCTCTCGTAAACATCGGAAGCTAACAGAAAGGATACCGACAGATGACCCCCTAGTCCCAATGCATTTGTTGGTGTTTGGAGTTCAATCATTCGTGACCTCGAGTGCTTGCTTGGCAGAGGTCTGGGGCTGGGACGATCGCACGGTCGCCCAGAAGCAGGATTTGACTATGTTGTATGCGCCTTATGTGATGCTTGGTAAGTTTACGTTTATTTTACCTTTTTTTTTTTTTTTGTTTTAGTCTCCTTTGTGGATGTTTCACGCTTGTGGTTTTATGTTTTCTTTATCATCTCCTTTTGTTTCTTTTTATATGGATGGTGGTTTCGGCAGGGCGATCGGTGGCGGCTAACTTGATCCAGGGGCGTTTATGGCGTTGGACATGCTCTTTAGGTTGCGGGGGAAGCTACTGAGTAAGTCTAAGAGCGAGTAACTTGTATGTGGGTTGGGCCCCTGGGATAAACCGGGTAGAGTTGAATATAGGTCTGGGTTGGGAATAATACTACCTAGTAGTACTTCTGAAAGTACTGCAATTTCACTATCACGGATGGAGTCAATGGCAAATTTAGATCGCAATGCGAGGCTGGAATCTTGCGTTCCACCTGCAGTGGAATTACTTAATTTAGGGCTACGTGACTGATCTAAAAAGTAAGAAAAGTAATAAACGAAGAGGCTCCACTTCAATACATGAGACTCCATTTACGAGGCACAGCATAGAACGCATTCACCGCAAATGCAGATAATGTTTGTATTCATAATCGGGGTGACTAGACCGCTACGCTGACTCGACCAGCAGCGCCACAAGGGGCACAGGCCAGGGAGGCCAAGGATGGAGCTGATAATGCGGTAAGCTGCAGCCGATATAACTGAAATGCAGATGGGGGGGGGGGGGGGGGTGTCTCTCTACCAATGACACGCCCCGCCAGTCCCTCAGAGTCCTCTCTCATCCACACAACGACGCGAGTCGATTACAGGATTTTTGGGATATCTGGGCAACAATCGCTGTCTCCACCGCTGAATGACGGCGTGATGCAGCGGTAAGGTACCGGAAACACGTCAAGATTTCGTAATCTATAGCATCTGGAACTCACATGTCATATCAGGAAGCCAATGGCCCCGTCGAGGTCCCCATTAGCTGCATCTAGCGCCCGCATAGCCTCCTCCCGAGTGAAACCGAGCTCGGTGATCTTCGCGATGGAGTCTTGTGGCCACCGGGATGATTGTGCCGGAGCTGGACGAGACGGAGGTGCCGTGGATGAGCTGGCACCACCGGATCCTTGTGCCTGATGAGTAACTGCACCCGTCCGAGCGCCGACTTCGGCACCGTCAGCTCCTTTGACCAAAGGTTCATCCTCGAATTCATCTTGCAGATGCTTAGGAATATCTGCCTCTCCCAAAAATGGCACGGCTTGGTCTTGAATGACCAGTGCTCCCCTCCTGAGGTCGATGCAGGCCTGATGCCGCCTCAACATATCCAGACCCAGGAGGAGATCGATGTGCTTGCCTTCCATCACAGTAAAGGAGCATGGCAAGAACATACTTCCGATCTTGATCTGAGCCGAATGGACGCGCCCCAGGATATTCGCGGTGCCCACTCCTTTAGCAATTCCCCCGTATCGCTGGTCCACCAGACGCATGATGTTGCACGCGGTTGCACACTCGGGGGACATGATAGTGACCTGGGCGCCAGAATCGACGAATGCATTGAGTTTGTGGCCGTTGACTTCGACTGGTATGTACAACATGGTCACGCGACCGAACGCTATGACAGTTAGCAAAGCCATTCTGTCATAGGAAGAAAATGGCTGAACACACATTCCGGATGATGCTCCATGGCATTATGGAGGTTCTCTGTCACCGCATTCTGGCGAATGATCTCTTCAATCTGTCGCTGGTTTTCCGGGTTGAACGGGTCTGCGTTCAACATTGCAATACGGGCCTCCTTCTCAGCCTCTAACTGAGCCTCCCGCCGCTGTTGGTTGAGGAATACGTCGCGGAACCGCTGAGCATCACTGGCTGCATCTGCCAATTCCGGGTTTTGCCGTCGGACAGCTTCGCGCACTCGAGGGTCGCCTAGAATGTGTAACCGGATGGTCTCAGGATCTGGGTTCATTGCCTGACGCCGTTGGAGGTTTTGTTGTGCAGCAGCAGCGCTAGGGCCGCCAGCAGTGCGGGCGGGCGCCTGAGGACTCCGCAGCGTAACATGGACCCCCAACATATCTCCTTCCCCGATTCCAACCTGATCAAGGGTACGTGCATCATCTCCGAGCAACTGATTATTGTAGACGATTCGTTGGGCGCTCGGGGGAACAGCGGTTTCGCTCTCGACAATAGCTTTGAGAAGTTCAACGGTCATGTCCCCACCCACCTCAAGCGATATGATATCAGCATCGGCTTGGTCCGGTCGGATAACACTGACAGTGATACGCCTATATTCATTATTACTTTGGGTTAGATATTATGGTTGATGATCCCCAGGAGGCCCTTTTCGGTTTTCATTTATTTGGTTCTTCTTTTGTTACACTTACATGGTGTCTGAGCTGTAGTGCGGGGAAGCTATCCAAAGCTCCAACGGGATAAACGGGACCCAAGATGCACCGTTTCAAAATCGAAGTCACTAGACGTGTGATGTATTTTGCAAATGATGACGCCGAATTGAGAATAGTAGGTTGAAGATGACGATTTGTCGATTGGGAAAAATCCACAATGGTTATAAAAGTACAAGTCGGCAAGAATAGGATGTCACGAGCTTTGGGAAAGATACGGAGGGGGAAAGGAGGGGGGAAGGAGGAATTAAGGAGGACTAGGAGGACAAGTGTAATAAGGACAGGGATATTTTGGAGAAGATGAGGAGCCGACTAGCAAAAACAAAATAGTCAGATTTCCGGTGAGAGAGGAAAAGGTTAGAATACTAATAGTAGTTGGTCGTCATGAATCAATCGTTAGTTCTTTCTGGTTCCTGAGGACCTCAACCGCGGTCGGCGAATAAATGAGGACTTCTCCCAGATTAGGTAACCATGCCATGCGTCACCATTCTCTCAATCCATGAGTGTCCATCATCTTCTCCCTCTCTTTCTTCTTACTTACAAATTTTTGTCTGGATCTTGATAGAAGCTAGGACCGAAGAAGAAAAGGACAGGGAGAGAGAAAAAAGTATAATAAGACAATTCTGTGTTTTTATTATATTTCTTTTTATTTTGTCCTGTTCAGGTCGCGATATGAAAACTTAAAAATCGGGTGTTCATGTGTGCATGGTGCAGGGTTATTTATATATACTCCGTATATACTTCCTGTATTGGTACTAATTTCCCATATCGCAAAGAGCCTCTCAATTCCCTTCTTTCTAATTTAAAAATATTAGTCTCGGAACCTACATTACTCCGTTTATGGCTAAGCCTGGTCTTTCGCCTCTCTGAACAGTTGGCCTCTTACAATTTTCTGTTTTGCACATATTCCGATCTAGAATTGAAGAGGGCATTCTTCAAGTATGGAGGTGTACAGTACCATACATATAGATTCCATCGGCCTTCTGTGACAGCGGAACATCACGAAGACTTGCAGCAAGTGGAGGAGGACCCTAGGAGCAACGGACTAACTCCGGCATGGTGGTGGTCCAGTTATTGGAAAAGACGTTCTACCGGATTGAGCTAGTTACATATAGGGCCAAACTTCTCCAAAACACACCACCCTCTTAACATGCTAACCTGATCCCCCACTTCCTAGACCGTTAGCGAAGATCTTATCCCTTACCATTTGCTTATCTTATATTTTTATCATCAATATTATTTAAATCGTCCCTCTTCTTAATCTCCCCACTTTTCGTCTCTCGAGTCATAGCAATCACATCATCAGGAAACTTTGCGTGCGGCATATGGCCTCATGCGTCCTCTATCACTAAGGCGCAGTCCTAGTAGTGTTGACGCTAAATGGACACTCCACCTGCAACAGGCAAGTAGCTGCAAAGGGAACGTATTCCCAGCCATTGTGATGGTCTCATTAGACTCATCTTCGAGTTTTTAATGGGGCAATCATAACGGATTATTGAGCCTGCGATGCGACGAGTGGCGTGCCGCGCGGAATAGCTGGGTTGGATTGGCCTTTAAACTGCTAGCGTGCATAGAACTAACGTATGAGGACATTACCTACTTACTCTCTCTGGAACTGACTGCGTACAGGGCGGGTCACATGCAGCCGCACATATCATGCTACTCAGCACATCATAGGTGGACGATCAAGGAAAACTTATCCTCGTGCAGGGAGTGATTATGAAACGTCAGAATTTTTTTTGGGGGGGTACCTTTGCCAGTCTAGAACGGCTGAATCTGACCCACGCAATCACTGCTATTATCGAGCTCGATTCCAAACACAACTCCAGGCGGATTTGGCAGATGATTCTGTTGCGAACGGCACCACACGGTGGCATGGGTCAAAGGCAGGCGACTCATTTTTCCACTCCTGTTGTCTGGAATACCACATGACCGGCACATGTCCCCCATCTTAGCAACCTGGCAGTGGACATGATGACGTTCTTAGGAGGATATCGTATGTGCGATGGATCGGAATTCGGGAATTTGATTTCGAAGCTGGACTTTTTCGCTTGACACACTCATATAACTTCCGACGATACGGGTTGTGCCTGCAATATGAAGAGCGACTAGAAAACCTTGGACCTCTGATTATGTTCCACGCTGAGTTGAAGGCTGAAACGATGGACGAAGTAACTGCTGGTTAAATTGATGATTGGTCTTCTATTACTTCGGCGCCGATATTTTGTCCAAGCCCTGTTTAACGGAAGCATACGGTGTCGCGTTTTAACCCTTCATGTCTAGGTATCGTCACTTATATCCTCGACTGAGTACAGGCTCAGCATTTTGATCTTGGCTCGAAAGCAGGATATCCGCTGGGTTTGCAAGAGAAAATGCCTTTTCCCTCCTTCCGTGGCGTGCTTCTAATATTTGGGTACTGCCTCGCCTTGCTGTACAATCGCTGGATTATCCTAGGTACCACCAGCCGCAAAAATTGTGACTATATGCGTTTCTAACAGCTTGTGAGAGATTGGCGCATGCTTTCGTGCTGTGACTACCGAAGACCGATGTACAGTAAACAGGCTCTGGAGAACCAGCTGTCCAATGTGGCCCTATATGTTAGGGTCTGTGTTGCTCTAGTACAAGCATCTATGCGGATTCAAGCTGCACAGAAAACTTCACACAATATGAGTGGTTGAACTCTTCATGCCCGGAAAATATAATAGTCGATAATGGTTTGCACTGAGAGAAAGCTGGGAAGTATAAGAATGGGTAGTGATTGTAAGGGTAGGTACAAGAGATGTCGGCTGGGTCGCTTTCTAATAAAGTTTTAGAAAATTCAGCACAAGGAGGTATCCTAACAATGTCTGTCACCCTGCAACCCGATTGACACTACGGCAAGAACCGCACCGCTCCAGAAATTCACAATATTTAAACTAAAGAATATTTGCATTAAAGCAGAGGGCATCCTGTTAAATTTTGCATATTAGCTTTTGCAAGACTGAGGCATTCAAGCCCGTACTTGATATTTTACTTGACAAGGTACACAGCACCCAGTGACGCATCCTGCACACGTGGATAGATGGCCATAATACTTTTAAGGGACTTGTGTTGGTTCACAGTCGCTAAGTGCTTAACAAATCTTTGTGTGTTAGGTTCATCTGTACCACCCCGGTGGTGAACGAGGAATCGGACGGCGCTGTCAACAGGGAACATGCTGGCTTGGCTTACTGCCGACAGCTCTGAAGACAAGGCCCGCTTCAGCCTGGCCTTTGGCACAGTTGATGCCAATATCTAGCTTGAAGTGCGCAGCTGATACTTCAAAGCGAAGGTAGTCATCTGTAAGACCTCGACGAGATGGGAGTGAAGGCGGAGAAGCTAGATGCTGTTGTCAACCGCAGTTTAATATCTAATATAGTCTCCAGAGCCCTTTACATGAGTTCACTAGAAGTCTTGCGAGCTCCCCACCCTTTTCTATACAAGCAGCTTGCAGAACGCAGCATAGATGTGAGGAAGCTATCACGTTACCTCTAGGAACATGATTCATATCCATATTCTACCATCCTGTCCCATTGATCACCATGCGATAGAAATAGCGCCTGCATATGGCGATAGACGAATATCAGCCTGAGCCTTGTTGGCATTGAGAGAATATCGAAAGGTATGAGCCTACTAGCAACAAATTCCTCATTGCGTGATCGGTTTAGTGGTCCGTTCACGTGCACGCCATAAGTGTTTTGTGCAAGAAGGATCATCGCTGCAACCGTGTAAATCCTTCGTCTGAAATTACTTAGGTATTGTTCAATGGATTCCACGAGTCGCTCTGCATGACCACGCTCCATTGAGATACAGCCAGAAGACACCGAGGCTCGACTAAGTGGGAGAGGCGAGGATTTGAAGGCCAGACCATCTCACAGGTGGTCCCTCCTTGAATCATCTATTGCGCAAAGATAGACAGCTGTCAGTTCTTATCAACTGGATATGTACATATTTGCTTCGCCTATGATTGGCTTCGATTATATTCCCCAGGACTTTACCAGGTCCCACTTGCACAGCTGTTGTCAGGATGGGATATGATAGGGATATGATAGGGAGGTCGTAGCTGTTTGAGGTGCGTCGCTAGTGGTTCCATTGTCATCATGACGGTATCTCTTGAACATAAATTGTTCTCCTATCAGCGTATATCAATTGGCTATGGCATGCGATTAGCTACCGTAGTCGGCCTCTTGTACGACTTCAATTGTCTTATCCCTCAGGGGCTCATTTGGATTCATGCATTTCGGCTGTCAAACAAACTTCGCCCAGTTTCCGTCCACATTCTTCAGTATTGGTGTGTGTATTCTGTACCACAATGCCGGGCTGCACATTTTAACGTCGAACCATGATAGCGATGCCGATGCCGGTATTGATGGGGACCCATCATCCGAATTTTTCGCTATTGTACGACAGGCTATCGCTTAATTGGGGCATGCTAATAGCAAGAACACAAAGAATTGAAAAGTATAAACGTGCCAAGGTATTGGTGGGGTAATTTCCGGGTCAGTTCATCAACGAACGAGTGGCGTTTCCATCTCATCTCATTTGGCAATTAGGTAACTGAATATCTTCACCAGTGCCGTCCTCAATTCTGACTAAGGGCCTCCACACAAAGCCCCTTGGATGGTGCCCATGGTTCAAAGACCAGGTCTACCCTCGGGATGGGAAGAAGTGAGAGCAAAACATGACATTTATTAGGTTAACGGTGAGCTTTATGTATATTCTTTGTTGGTGGGTATCAGATTAGATTGATAAAGCAGGTCCCACTCAGGACCCAAAATGCGGGCTTGGCGGGCTTTCCCGGCCAATGGCTGAGAGCAAAATACGAGATCATTCCATGCTACGCCTTGGGAACGGGACATTCTTGGTGTCTTTTGAGGTAATTTTCCCTGTCCCAGCCGCTTTAGAACTCTAGATTCCTAGGCAATGTCTCGGTCATGCCGGGATCATTTCGAGACTATGACCCAAGAAAGAGCGCTTGCAGATGCCTTATCAGATATGATTCGCTCACCTTTCTCGTCATGATATATATATTTTTTTTTTTGTGGTCACGTTCAGACATGGTCCCTTTCTTTTTCTTTTTCTGTTCCCTTTTCATATTGCTGTCCCCTCCCCCTTTACCTCATAATATAGTCTTGACGACATTGTCCTCTTCCTTTGCTCTCATATACCGATAACGACGAGGGCAGTGCAAGATGTCCGCGGAAAAGAATCCACATATTCAAGATGCAGTCCAAACTCACGAACTTCAGGACGAGGCGGAGTTTAAAAGTCCAGGTGTCAAACGCATCGCAGCTATCTCGTCGCAACTGGGGCTTGTAGCTCGTGTCTTTCTGTTCTTTGGAATCTTTTTGGTAGCCTATGTATATGGCTTGGATGGACAGCTGCGAGTGACTTATCAGGTATGTTACCTGCTATGATACCCTTGTTTTTTTTTTTTTCTCCTTGATAAGGAACTAATGTCGACAGCCTTTGGCAACAAGTAGCTATGCTAAGCACAGTTTGCTTCCTACGATCACTGTTTTACGTAATGTTATTGCAGCTGCCGCACAGGTAAGGCATTGCATCCTTTTTGCTGTCCTTCACTGACACTTAGAGTGACAGCCAACAGCTGCAAAAATCGCCGATGTCTTCGGGAGAGTAGAGCTGATCTTCGTCTCGGCTTTCTTCTACACTATTGGTAGGAATTGCCTGTATATTGGATATTGAACACTGCTGACGCACTCAGGGACTATCGTGGAGGCTTGTGCCGACAACGTCGAGACTTTCTGCGCGGGCGCTGTTCTATACCAGGTATTTTATTCTCCTCGAGTGTTGTATACTATGAACTCTGACTGGAGCGTTGTCCTTAGGTCGGATATACGACGATGATTCTACTTGTCGAAGTTCTAGTAGCAGATACGACTTCCCTTCGATCCCGTCTGCTCTTTTCCTATATCCCTGCGACTCCTTTCCTTATAAATACCTGGGTTGGTGGCGACGTCGCCTCTGCCGTGTTGAAAGTCACCAGCTGGCACTGGGGCATTGCAATGTTTGCAATCATATTTCCTAGTAGGTAGATTTCTTGCAAAAGTGGGATCTTATCTGATTCATGCTAGTTTGTACCATCCCTCTCTTTGCGACGCTGTTTGTTGGACATCTCAAAGCCAAAAAGGCCAATGGCGAGACATATCAACATCCTATTCGGCTTCTAGGTGCAGGGAAATTTGCTAAAGAATTGTTCTGGTACCTGGATGTGGTGGGAATCCTGCTTTCGATTGCTTTCTTAGCTCTTATTCTTGTTCCATTCACGATCGCCGGTGCCGCGGCCGAGCAATGGAAGACTGCGAAGATTTTGGCACCGCTAATTATAGGTTTAATCTGTCTGCCCCTGTTTGTCATTTGGGAGCGTTCTTACGCCCGGTATCCCATGGTTCCCTTCAAAGTAAGCGGTTGTGGATTCTTTCTCGAGCAGTCACTAACAAGATGTAGCTGCTCAAGGACCGCGCGGTTTGGGGCGCTCTCGGCATAGCAACGATGCTCAACTTAGGTATGTCGATGTGAGTGTGGTGTCTAAATACTATGCTAATAACCCTGTAGCTTGGTCATTGCAGGGCACATACCTCTACACCGTGTTGCAAGTCGCGTTTGACCAAAGTATCCTCAGTGCATCACGTATCTCGTCTCTATACAGGTCCGCTATAGCCGCAATGCAATTTGTTCCCCCCCCAAAAAAGAAATCTTCTGACATCACTAGCTTTGCATCCGTTATAACAGGATGTATACTCGGCGCGATTATTATCAAGGTAAAACAACTGAAGCCTTTCATAGTTGCCGGAACCATTCTTTTCGCGGTGGCTTTCGGCATTCTCATACAGTTTCGCGGAGGAACAGGTAGCTCAAGTTACTCTGGTATTATCGGCGGAGAGATACTTTTGGGTATTGGTGAGTTGTTATACAATGACTAAGATGGTTAGCCCAAACTGATTTATGTTGTCAGCGGGTGGCATGTTCCCATACCCGGCCCAAGCAAGTATACAGGCTGCCACAAAACACGAGCGTGAGTACAAATCTCTATATTGAACGATCTAGTCTAAGATTTATAGATGTCGCTGTAATCACTGGTCTGTACCTGGCGTTGTACAACGTTGGAAGCGCTATAGGGGGCACAATTTCTGGCGCTATATGGAGACAGAGGATGGGTAAAGAGCTCACTAAGCACCTTGGTACTGCAAATGCCACTCTCACCGATTTGGCTTTTGGGCAGCCTTTTGATTTTATCGTTTCATATCCTGTCGGAACACCTGAGCGGGAAGCTGTCACCCTAGCATACAGAGAGGTCCAGCGTCTCCTTTGCATCACTGGCATATGTCTGACGGTGCCTCTGATCGTCTTTTCTCTTTGCATCCGCAACCCAAGGTTGACGAAAGATCAAAGCCTTCCCGATGCCGAACGGGAGGAGTAAGTGCCGCCCTTCAAGCTTGCTTATTTAGCAGTGTGAGACAATGCAAGACTGGCGTTCCTGTGCTAGAACCAACCTCAGCTCGGAAGCTTTACTCCTTTCCGCTAATATGTGCTGTGTGAATGGTTGAAAGGCCGGCGCATTCGAAATTGTCAACCTAATCGTGTTAATAGTTGTTAGTATTTGTATAATCTGGCTGATATTGATGAAATTCAGCGCGCCTTAGAGTCTTTAGTGAAAATCTAGACCTTTATATGAAAGCGAACCACCATACACGATATAGTTTAATAATCCACAGATAGTCCTGTGAAGTAGTTTAGTATTCAATGCATCTCACTTCGTCAGTAGACATACGGTCGCCTTATCTCAGACACAGGTCGCCTCGCTTTTGTTTCTGTTCTTAAACCATCTAAGCTGCTTGTTTGTGAAGAACAAGGCTGATGCGAAAGCGAAGTTCCATGCATCAGGTAATGTTTTCTGTTTGCTTCTGTTCTTGCCCGTGTCCAGCGAAAGTCAACTATTCCCTGCTACGCAGAAAAGTATTATGGGCCATTAAGAAGTTACACAGGGTCAATAGCTTATAAAATGATTGGGAGAGACCTTATTTCTCCCCGTCAAGAGTGGAGCTCAGGTCTTGTCTGATCACCCCTTCCAGGCCCACAAACTCGGCATCAGTCCTGAGCCAGGCCCTCAATATCTTTGCTAGAGTCTTTCGAGATAACCTAGGGTGTCCTGCCAATACAAAACTATTATTGAATAAGTTGCATTCAAGCGCCTCAAGCGCACATATCCTACAGGTGCCTGTCGTACTTAACTAGTAAATGACCTTTTTTGCCAACCTTTAATTCTCAGTTAGTTACTCCGAACACCCCGTGTGTAACATTATTGGAAACGTTACAACACGAACAACCTTACCACGTGGAGCGACAGGAAGGCTCTTCTGGAAATCCCAGAGAGGTTCCACCAATAGTCCGCAGCGCACATGAATAGTGCTATGAAGTACGTAGGTGGTATATATTCGGTATACCTTGCTTCGCCGGCTCGGCTGGGGGCTAACTTTCCGACCAAGAAAACATGATTAGTATAAAACCTCTTGGCTGGGGACTATCATGGCATGCCCATTGCCATGATGTTATATGGGAGTCCACTTTAACCCGCTCATTGTGATGATCAGAGCGGATAAGGAGCGTTGCTGGAAATCCGTCATTTTCTATGATCTGTGACCGAGTTGCTAACGGTTGCGTACGTAGCTGAAGGGACTATTTCCGCATTAGTCAAGCCCCTTCACCTGGTACCATTATAGAAGCATGCTTTGTGGGCGTGAAAGATTGTTTGCGAATAGTAAATACCCACGGTCAGGTGGTGTATGGGCTTGGAGGCATGAAGAAGTCGATGAGTTTCAGACTCCAGAGCTTGCTGGTGCATATGCTCAGTGTATGTGTTAAGGAAACCCCGAGTTGTGATCTTGATCTATGCAGTGAATATAGCCGATATTACCCGCTCGATATCCAATATTATCTTGTTGGCCTGTATACCGAGGAAGAATGTCGAAAACAAACAACCTACTTCGAATCGTAATGTCAAGAAATATCGCACGGGCCCTATGGAGTCATAGTTCTAGCATCTTCTGTAAAGTGGATACGACACGTGAGACCGAAGAGTAGTAGATGAAAAGGAAACAATTAAGCGAAGACCTCGAACAGTGCGCTCCCAGGGTTGAGGATATATCTCCTTGGGTTGCCGCTCTTTCTGCCATATAATGCTTGGTGATATCATGTGGAGCTCAGGGCTATGCTCAATAGACTAGCAGAAACCATCTTCTTTCGGACACGGTAACTGGCCGCTGCGGCACTGCGCCTTTAAGGTCCATTGATTTCGATACACATCAGGGTCTCCGCAAATATGATTGAAGGATAGACTTTCTACCAGAACTGAGGATTGCTACACAGTACTACCCGAAGTAGTTCTTCCGCCTGTTATGATTCAGCTAGCATTCCGTATACTGTTGCAGTCGTCCGAAGAAATGAGTTTCTTGGGCTGGTTGATACGCTTGAAGAATTAAGAAAGGGGCCATATTTCGATGACATTATCAGGGTGGTACGCCAGGACTTACCAGCTGAAGACCCGTGTATCATGAGTCTTTTTGCAGACTGACTTCCTGGCTCCATAATGGAATCCTACGTTCGGATATTCCGATGGGGTCGTATCAACACAATTGGCGAATACTTCCATGCTAGGCTATGGGCTGTATATTCCACTGTGAAGCTAACGCTGGAACTTGACGACTAAACAAAGTTCCAGACCCTGCAAAACATGACTCTTGTCCCTTGGTTCGGTCCGCGAGAAAATTGTATCTGTTGCATTAGGGACCCATTGCTGTGACGAGAAGGGTGTGACTTGCACCTCAACTTCCAAAAGGAGGAAACTAAATGAAGGGTTGCTGCCGATCGTTATGGGACGGCATACGTATTCCCTCCAATTATGTATGATGACGCGACAAAAGGGCTCCTCTAATTGCCAAAAGGGTTGTGATTTTCTTAGCCAGATATCTTCGAGATAGATGATCGTTGAGCGGGGGAGCAAGCTGGAGTATACCACAATTCACAGTATACACGACACGCAGAATGTAACCTGCGCATTATATTCGGTATGATAAAGACGTGCTATGAAATTAATACACGTTGGTTAAAGACATACCCTCGTTGGTTGTTGGTCTTACCCAGTCTACAGGAGCCCGTGTGGAGAATCCCCCGGGCCACTTTCCGACTTCTTGGCATGTCGGACGATTTGCTGCGCCACGATGCTAGCCCTAGTCTCCGGGGTTCTGTGCAGTCGGATCAGGTATAATTCGCAATGTGCAGCTTCAATGTGGGCCCTTCTAAATGAGAAGGGTCATTTACCGCTTATCCGACATCATAAGTCCGCAGTAAAGCTGCAAGATTTAACAGCTCCCCAACCCAGAGTTAATGCCAAGAGGTGCGGAGACGGCAAATGGTTTACTCCGTAATGCATGAATATTGGCATTGTTGGGCACTGAAACAGTTAATATAAGCTTGTGGTCAGTGTTCGTTCCAAGTCTCAGTGATCGGCACCCACTTGCCCTTTGCAAGCGACCTGCTAGAGATCAAGCCTTTGGGAAAACTTCGGAACATTCTTATCCAGCCGGAATATCTGCAATCTGTTTCAGCTTGGTCCCGAAAGAGTGCTTTCGACTTGGAGGAGAGTAGGAGGAAAATATTGAAACGTGCCAAGGGTATCTATATTCCGCCAATGACTCGAGCAGGGGAGAGTGCATACGGCAGCATAGCAGACACATTGAGGCTATAAAACCTCTGCATTCCCACGGCCATGAACCTTGGATTTAAGCAGACAAAAATCATCTTTTCTTTGACTTACCGTGCCCTTCTTTGAAACGCTCTGGGAGTGATCCTTTCTTTCGAAAAACCAACTTCTTCAATCATTCACAATGCTTCCTAAGGCTGTCCTCCTCTCTCTCCTCGCCTCCATGGCACTGGGTGCCAGCGAGTTCCCTATCCCCGAGTCTGCTGGCACTGAGACTTTCAGTGAGCCCAAGGAGATCGCCGCTGGAGAGGTCTTCGACGGTGGTTTGAAGACTTACGGCCGTGGCGTCGAGTGCACTGGCCAGGATGAGGGTGGCGACAGCGACGCTGTCTTCATCCTCCAGGAGGGTGCTACCCTCAAGAACGCCATCATTGGCACTGACCAGATTGAGGGTGTCCACTGCGAGGGTGCTTGCACCATCGAGAACGTCTGGTGGGAGAAGGTCTGCGAGGGTATATGCGCTAGTATTCTTTATTTATTCTCGGATGAAAACTGACTTTGTTGCAGACGCACTCTCCCTCAAGAAGGGTAACGGCCCTTACAAGGTCATCGGCGGTGGTGCCCAGGGTGCCGAGGACAAGGTGATCCAGCACAACGCCGGCGGTGAGGTCAGCATCGATGGCTTCGTCGTCTCCGACTTCGGCAAGCTCTTCCGCTCCTGCGGTAACTGCGATTCCCAATCTCAGCGCACTGTCACCATCTCCAATGTCAAGGCCTACAACGGCAAGGTCCTCGCCGGTGTCAACGAGAACTATGGTGATGTCGCCACCATTACGGACACTTGCGCCACTGAGGTCAAGGACATCTGCACGACCTACGAGGCCACCGAGGGCTCTGGTGAGCCCGAAGAGATTGGCTCTGGCCCCAGCGACTCTTGCGTCTACACTGACCCTCTTCCTTCCTGCTAAGCGCATTCTCAGTGTATCTGAGGGGACATTGGGACATCTTGGGCGCTTTTCTTGCTTGTACTATTTGTCTCCCTGCAAGGCAGTCAAAGCCAATCATACTTCGCTGTCTTCCTGTATCTAATAATATAAAGAATTTGACCCTTCTCTGATAGCACCCCCCCCCCCCCGGGGCTGTCCGAGCTGGATTGGGATCAACAGTTATTTCATCGTACAACTAGTAGATAGTGTGCACTGCGAACATGTTGCAGAGTAATCCCTCACATCATACAACTACTAACAACCCGTGGAAATCTTCATGCGCCCCATTAATATGATTTTGTTAATGGGGCGCTTTCACTATAGGGTGAATAAAAATATCATTGTAAATGATACTTTATAATGCCAAAGTCTATCAATAAATATGATAGGTAGATATATTGGTGATATTGCTCAGATTTAGTCTAAACGTTGTGTGGCGCCGGCTCTTTCTCCCCCACCCTTATATATTTATAGTCCCAATAGTATTAAATCATTTAAATCAAATGCACACTTAATTGATCTCCGGCAGTAAATTCTCCAAAACTTCGCCATCTTCGCTGAACTCAGGGAAGTCAACTTATATTCCGATCTATCGATTGGCGGACCTGCCAATTAAACAGAATATAAAAATAATAGAATACACTTATAGCCTAATACTAGAGTATAGAACTAAACCTTGAGAAATGGACCTCGACAAAAAATTAGAAAAGAAAAGGATGAAAGACAGCATAAGAATAGTCCAGACTGATGAGGGTTAGGTATAAAGCAGGTTCCAGTTAGTTTATTATTCCAATGTCTGATACTTATCTATCCAACTATGTCTAAGTCCGAAGATTAACCGTACGGCATACCGGTAATAACCATACGGGAACCGGTAACCCCACAAAAGATTCCCACCGAGCTTAACTCCGACCCAGACACGGTCCGTCAGCGAAACGCATAAGACCGTCGACTTACGCCTCCATAGTTCGTTCCCGAGCATCCACCACTCCCCAGGTCCTCAACAATGGCGCCCGCAAGCGAGATCCCCAAGCGCGATTCGGAACAGCTTATACCGATTCGGACACAAAAAAAGGAACCCGATGACTGGAAGGGTCTCACGGACTCAAAGGAACGGCGACGGCGCCAGAACAGGATCAACCAGAGAGCCTATCGTGCGTATACCCACTAAAATCCCACCCAACCTAAACCCTAAAGATCAACGGGTATACAAGAAAAGAAAACCAGATATTAACCAGAGAACTCAGGCCAACGTAAACGAGCCGAAAAGCTCGGGCTGACCATCAAACCCGAAGAAGCCGAGTTCAGCACAGCATCTTCATCTTCATCTTCATCGCAATCCCCACCCACAACCGCCCTAACCACTACCCGATCAAACTGTCCCACCCCCGAGCAAACCGCCGCTATCCTCGACCTCTTCAGCAAAACCGCCTACCAGAGCTACATCCTCGGCTCCCCAACCTCCGACCACCTCCTCACCCTCGCCAAAGTCAACGTCTTCCGCGCCTTCGGCTCCATCATGACCACCCTCGGTATGCCCAAACACCACGAATGGATGCACGACGACGCTATCTCCCCCTTCACCACCCTCCGCCCCGGCTTCACCATCCCCTCCACGATCCCCCCCAACCTCCGCCCGACCCAACTCCAACAATCCACCCCCCACCACCCCTGGCTCGACTTCTTCCCGCACCCGCGCATGCGCGATAATCTCATCCGCGCCGGCGACTTCGACGATGAACCGCTGTGCCTGGATATCATGGGGTTCTGGGATATGAGCACCGAGAGCTGCGGGTTGTTGGTGTGGGGGGATCCACAGGATCTGGCGAATTGGGAGGTGAGTGAGGAGTTTATTCGGAAGTGGCCGTGGGTGGTTGGGGGTTGTGGGGAGTTGTTGGTTTCTACGAATCGCTGGCGCGCGATGAGAGGGGAGAAGTTGATTTTTAGATATCTTTAGCCTTGTTTCTTTTTCTCCTTCTTTTTATTCTTTTTTATTTTTATAAAATGGGATGTACAGTGATCTAATTGGGGTAGGTGAGGGGGTTTGTTTTGGGGGTATGTATGTGTAGGTGTAAGTGTATGTGTGGAGTTGAAAGAGGAAGGATGAATAGTCTTACTACTAGTACTAGGTATGTATGTACTTACTATCTTGAAGAAAGAGAGAGAGATGGCATGATGAGATCATCAAGACCCTTATCACCGGCGCTAATGCACATTGCTTACGCGCTAGAGCCCACTTTATTTTCTTGATTGCTTGGGTCATCCAATCATAGGGGTTGGTGTGGACTTGGCCCGTTCTTTTCAATATGGTATTGTATCGTATTGAACGGTATGTCGTCTTTGATTCTAGGCTTGCCGGGAATCGATATAAGATACAATGCCGTGGCATGACCCGCGTCAACATCTCATCGCAATATCAAGGACAATGGAAATGAGCGGGATGAGTGTTTTGTCGTATAAGCATACTCCGGAGGATTTGCGGAGGGGGTTAAAGGAGAGTTTGCAGGCGTTGGGGACGGAGAAGATTGATATGTGGTATGTTCACTTTTCTTTCTCTTCTTCTTTGTGGTTAGTGGGGGGATTTGTTAATGGGTGTAGGTATCTACATGGACCGGATCGGACTACGCCGTTTGAAGGTGACTCTCCGGGAAGTCAACGAGCTTTATAAGGAAGGCTACTTTACTCGTCTCGGAATAAGTAACTACATGTCTTGGGAGGTGGCTCAGATTTGTGACATCTGAGAGAATAACTGATGGATAAAACCGACTGTATATCAGGGAATTTACTCGGCTATCCACCATGTCATTGAGCCTGAGCTATTTCCTTGTCTTCGGTACTGTAATATCGCCCTTTATTCGTTCCAGCCCTTGGCTGGGGGCGTTTTGACGTCGCGCTATCGGAGGGATATGTCTGATGAAGAGCACGAGCCGGGGTCGCGGTTTGATCCGAAGAGATGGCAGGGGAACTTACATCGGGGACGCTATTGGAATAAGTTTTTACTTTGATGCGCTGGATATTATTCGGCCTGTGGCGAAGAAGTATGGGTTGACTGAGGCGGAGTGTGCTTTCCGTTGGTTGTGTTATCATAGTGGGATGAAGAAGGAGAAGGGAGATGCCGTTATTGTTGGGGCTAGTAGTGCTGCGCAGTTAGAGCAGAACCTCACGGATATGGAGAAGGGACCGTTGCCGGAGGAAATGGTGGAGGCGCTGGATGTTGCTTGGTTACGGGTTAAGGGAGTGGTTCCGAAGTATTTCCATTAGTTTATTATGTATCTATATTTATGTTTAAGTTGAAACGAAGTAGGAATGATGGTAACCCTATTCGCTTGGGGTATTGTCTTGAAATTCTTGATGCTGACGCTTCAAATATGCAGCTTCCAAACGCTCGAAGAAGATGTGATGCTTAATGGTGTTGCAATTCTCCCATTAGAAATTCCTTAATTGATCAGCCTTTGTCCGCATTCTTCAGAGCATCGAAACTCTGCATTACTAAGGCATCATCAATTTCAGGCTTCGCAACCTTTCGCGCGATATATTGACCCTCCTGAAGTCGCGCTTGCACGATTTGCTTCCTCGTCTTTGACTTGATCACCGTGTGTAGGCTCTTGGTTATTCCGTGGGCAGGGTAGGCCACGAGACCAATTGCAGCTGTCCAAAGGTTAGCAAGATTCGCGAAAAAAACAGGGCTAGCCTACCTGATGGCACTTTAGTACCCATGCTAAGTGTTCCTTTGAGGAACCCCTTCGCCACTCCCATTGCACCCTCTTCCTTGGCTCCCTTGTGGGTCTGCGTGAATATATCGGTGAAGCCTTCTCGCATCCCTTGAGTGAAGTTCTTGCCACCAGCGATAGCACCGCTTTTCCAGTCGCGAACAGCATAGTCTTCCACCTCTTCACCATATAGACGTGGCACGGCCCGGAGGCCCTCCGTAGCAGCCAGCGGAATGTCGACAATCACTCCCTTGTAAACGTGCTTCATAAAGTTGCCAAATCCTGCCGCCCCGGCGCCTATAGCCGCTCCTGTGGCATCCCAGTCGACCTTGTTCTTGCCACTAGCAGTTGTGGTCTGCAAGTCGACCTTAGAAAGAGAATCCTCGGTATTGGTTGCTGCTGGAGTTGTATTGGATCGGCCCTTTAGCTCTTGGTACGGTTTCATAAACATATCCGATGTGGCTCTTAGCATATCTGTGCCATACCCTATCGTTGCTGAAGTCGTGCTCGTGATAGGATCATATCGGCGATTTGTTATGATTATAGGACGGATTTCGTGTCTGTCATGTTAGCTTGGATGATAAGATGATCTGGGACGAGTGGGACCATACGACTGTAGGTTCTTGGACTCAATGCGCAAGTGGTCCAGTAAAATCTGAGCGGCTAATTTGGAGAGTAAGATGGGTTTGGCGGACTTCTTGTATATCCACGACGCGGGCTGGTCGGGAATTACCTGGCATCGCATGCGGTCCAATGGAAGATTTCGATGGAAGGATTCCACAGCGGCTTTGACACCCGACTCGTATTGCATTTTCATAGAAATGTCTTTCGCAGCCTCCTTTGCTTGGGGTGTGAGACAGTATCGGATTGCCTCAGCGAGGTTTTCAGCCGTCAAAGACTGCTGTGGGATTGGCTCGGGACCAGCACCAGACGCCGCGATCATCTTACCCCAAAAGGGCTGATCTCCAAAGAAGGGGACAATGGCGGTGGGTTTCCCGAAGCGTAGGCCGCATGCTGTTGTCCCCGCACCACCGTGATGTACCACAGCAGATACGTGTTGGAAAAGCCATTCGTGAGGGCAGTCGCCGATATACAGGATGTCTTTTGATGAGGAACCCCCGAGCTTACTCCACCCTCGTGAGATAATCGCACGAACCCCGACCGCTCGGACTGCCTCCTCGAGAATCGAAGTGAGCCGCGGGGGATCATCAATGACGATGCTACCGAAGCCGATATACACTGGCGGTGGGCCGTCTCGGAGGAATGCATCTAGTTCAGACGAAGGGGTATATATCGGCAACTCACGAAAGAAGAAGCCGCAGACATCTAGAAACTTAGTAGGGCACAATCAAGAAGGGTTGGAGAGACGTACCGATATAAGACGGCCAATCCTTGGGCTTGGGTACCAAGGCTGGAGACCAGCAATATGTGAATGGCACTTTGAGTGTCTGCACAAGGCTCGGTCCTTCCGTGAGAGGAACGCGTTCGAGGTCAATAGTTTCTCTCCAGTCGTTAATCACATCGCCAAGCCTAAACACGGCAGATTAGATAGAGGTCTCCACTATGCGAATGCTTAAGCTCACCCTTGCCAGGTCATCCACTCCACGACTCCGTACGAAACGGCATTTGCGAAGCTCGCGTTATTCCCGGAGTATTTCAAATTGGCCAGCGGATGAGGATACTCGGATGTCGAACTCCAAGGCATCGTGAACATCAAGTGTAAAGGAACACCTAGGGCTTGCGCACAATGGACATGCGCAAAGCTAGGAGGGTTTGCAATGATAGCGTCGGCCACGAACGGGGCCCCTGTGCTAGGATCATCCTCGATACAAGACTTCCAGCATCCTCCCAGCATCTCTCGGACCATCAACCGTTTCCGTGTGATTTCGCCTGCCTTCAGACTCTTCATGTTTGGGATGAGACCTGGGTTCTTCACCATAAATGCCATGAGTTCGGCAGGATCGCCGCCTATCGGATAGAACTCCAAACCTGACTTTCGAACGAAGGAATCAAACACATCGTGTGTTGCTAATCGTACTCGATGGCCATGTTTTTGCAATTCGTTCCCCAATGCAATGAAAGGTTGAACATCACCTCGGCTCCCAACGACATGAATCACAATGTTGAGTTTGATATCGCATATTACTGGTCCCGAGTAGGTTGGCGGCGGGCTGATTAAATCGTCTTCACTGAGCCGGGGGATAAACTTGAGAGCAGTTCTTGCCGCGGGAGAGTCGAGGTCCACATCGATGCGACCGTCATCTACTCTGTCAGCGAATGGTAGTGATGTAATTGCTTGACAACTATACCTTGTACTGTGCTGGATCCTGATTCTGCGATCAGTGTATAAGGTGGAGGAGCGTCTACTACTTCCGCGAGGTCATCCGACTTCGACCGCTGGAGAGGTTTGGAAGCCATGGTGCAGGAACGTGGAGGTTTGATGAAGGGACATTATGATCCGGTTGAAGGGGGTGTTTATATAAAAGATTCTATCAGAGTTATGTGAAGGTGAGGCCTGTTTGATCGGCGGGGATGAACCTAGTCTCGGTCGTACTCGTGTTCGTTACTGCGATAGGCCTAAGGCGGTGGGGCCCGACAATCACATTTATTCCTCTAGTGGATCTCGGTCAAAAATAAGAATCGATTCTGGTCGGTCGATCATCCAAATTTTTTAAGGATAAGGCTGTGTTGTGATTTTGGGTATTGTTATAATTAGACACTGCAACTATTGGCCATAAGAGAGAGCCGGTAATCACTGGAGACAAGACATTGTGGACTTCTCTAAGTTTGCATTGCTTCTCTGTTTATCCAGCGTGGTAATTCATCTCCACTCCGTCTTGTTTGGAAATATGGTTACGGGCTAGTTAGCAACTAGTCATCAACTAGTGGAATGCAGGCTTTGCATCGTCCATTGTTCACCATACTAGGTAATGTTCTAGAAGGTTTTATTTTAATTTCCAGCCAGATTATACGATCACCCCTACGTGAATGACAGGAGGTAGGAGATACGACCCAAAAGAAAAAAAAAGGGTGGTAAAAAGTAAAGGACCTTTCCATTAGTTCTGGGGAGAACTACCTATTGTTGAGCCATACGCCAAAAGTCAGGATCAGTTAACTACCACTGGGAAAGATGATTAGCCGAAGGTCATTAGCAAGCTATCCTTGCTTAGGCAACAGCAAGTCAGGCTTGCTCTGACCTTTTGCTGTCTTAGTGGGTCGCCCGGGAGCTCATATTACCATGATCTGACAACACTTGATTCGCCAAGGCGCTTCACATCAAGGAAGCGTCGTATTCGGTTAAGGCTGCACTGTGACAGAAACTAAACTATACCCAGTGATATCAGACTTTAAGGTAACACCGTCTCCACGGGGACGCCCTTCGCTCTTCCACATGGACTCAACTACGTCAACACCGCCAGTGTGTGCGAAGACTTGGTACCAGGCAGAGCCGGAATAACATTGTCAAATCCAGGATATCACTAAGAGCTGCATTGTGGGCCGGTTTGGAGTCGGTACGGAATAATTGTACGCATGGTAGGGAGAAGGAGCGTTGGTAGCAGATTGTGGCTTGACACTAGTCGTCTTAAAGAATGATAAGTGGCCCTGCAGTTTCACAAGGACCGTGTAAGATAGCGCATCTTTAAGCAGGACGTAACACGAACGCGAGTCCAGTTGCCCATAAGAGACATGAGATCGGTTTGGCCATTAGAGATGATGTCTGACCCAAGATCCTTAGAGTGTTCCTGTGGCAGAGGCACGTTCAGTAAATCGTATGCTGGAACGACCGATATACTGCCGTTGACAAGCCTTAAGGGAGACGATAATGAACCATTGTGATTGGTGAGACGCGTAATATTTGAGTCCACAGTTTTCTTTGGACATGGCTAAGTTAGCAGTTTGGCATGTGCACATTAACCCAGCTTTTATGAAAGAGAATACCCGACCCATACTACACTCAAGAGTCGTTAATCCAACCCTAAGCATTTGTAGAACTTGTATGGAAGACCTCCTTATGCTTTCCCAACGATGGTTCTAATTGCAAATAAGAGAAATATAACAATGCCAGCTACAGGGTCTCCAGCCTTCATTTAGCAGAAATCAATGTCTTTTGAACGTTGCAAAATTGAAAGCAAAGGTTTAAGCACCTCGAACATGATTCCAGTGACCCTGTCTCTGTAAGCGGTGACAAGAGGAAATAGCATGAGATAAAACGCTGAACTCACGAACTCGTGTAGCTTAGGGTCTGAACTCCACCTATTTCTAAATACCACATGAACAGGGGTCCGAGGAAAGACCATCCTGGCGAACATACTCATTTATTGGCCATTTATAGTGTTTGAACCACTTTGACGAATCCCACCTGCTCGAGACGTTGCGCGCTTTCTTCCCAAATTGTGAAGCTTTTGCCCCAGCGATTAGCTGCCTCTAGGAAGGTGTGGCTCCATGATTGGTAGAAATGATCTGGACCTAGACTGCCGTCATCCGAAACTGGCTGAACTGAGTGTAGCTAGAGTTGTAGTATCATCACCCCTCAAAGAGTCGCCTCCGTAGGTAGATTCACTGCCGACATCACGATCAACAGTACCATCATCTAGGAACTCTGACTGTGCTTCGAGAAAGACCAGAAGTACGAGATGTGTTGATCGAGGTCGCAGTACTACCATCACATTGATGGCAGCTTTCATGATCATCTGCGGCGCAGGCTATACAAAGGGAACGGGACAAATTAGTAGAGCTCATTGCAGCGATGCTAAACAGTAATGGGGTCTAAGCAAAAACTTGAAATATGTGAGTAAGCAAGGGACGAGAGGAACAGGTAACGATGGAGTACATATTAAAGGAAAGTCAAGCAACTACCAAGGATAAGGGGTCTCGTTAGGGTCATACAGGTCTGGAAGAACTCTGATATTAGTATGAGTCTCAACTGAAGTTAGGTGACTAGGTAAAGTGTTACAGTTGAGTAGTTAGTACTACTTCCATACTTCACTACAATCCTGGAATGGTCTAGCTCATTGAGTGTAGGGTTTATCGTAGGGTCACGGGTTGGACTAGCAGGAACCTTGAAGGAATTTAAGTCATATATTTTGCTTAAGCAGTTGCTGATCCCTGGAGGAGTGCTTTCAATTGACTAGCGGATGACCACTGAGGCCTGTCTGAACAGGATACTCAAACAGATATCATAATGCGGTAGGAAAGGAAAAGATTGACCGTATATTGAAACAATCTAATAGGCGGTACAGAAGGCTAACCGGTCATCTAAACTCGGCATATGCAAAGTCTGCCGGAACCAAGCAGCGTTGTCGTTCTCCGAAAGCGTATAGTCCAAGCATCATCCCCGTAAAAGGTGCACCAACTGGTGGCGACTGAGTCATTGTGCTGTTCTGAACTTCTCCTATCCAATGGGTCTGGGAATCAATACCGTTCACCTCTCTGAACCCGAACCTATACTGGTCACCGCATTCAATGAAGAACACCACATCCGATACTGCGCTGTCGAGTTCTCGATCAATGACCTCTCCTTCAGCCGGTCGGAATCGCACAATGCGCGCCCCTTCCTTCGTAGGGGAGAGCCGGATCCCAATACTGCTGTAGGTGAAGTAGTTCCACCAGACGACAGTTCCGGCTTCTGTATGGGGTGATTGAGGATTGAAAGATAATTGTGTCTCCCATGTGCAGTAATGGTGTGTTTGTTTCCGAAGAAATAGAGTCGGGCAGCTGGGGACGGAGAGATTATATGGTCCTCCGTGTAAACGGAGGTGGTTTGGTCGCTCTATGAGCGAGAAATCTGTTCTCATAGGGGTATCTAGAGGCACCAGTCTGAGCTTAGTATCATTAAGCACGCTTTTACAAACTTACTTTTGCGGTACCAGCCTAGCTGTAATTCCGGACGCGAGAAATCGTCTCTCCATGATACGGGATGTTGGTATTCATAAAGGCGTGGGCTTTCAGATTGGAGAGAGATCTTCTTGCCCTCATTGAAGGTCGGCCAGTCATCCTTCCATTCCACGGGTATCAGGAATGTTTCGCGTCCTATTGTCAGAGTAGCCATTGAGTCAGTTTTGCATCATATGCCAAAGAACGAACAAACTTACCAAAAACAGACTCCTCCCAGTAACCGTTTTTTTGCACCGGTCGAACACCCAGCAAAACAGCCCACCATCTTCCCTGTACATCCTCCACCAAGTCTGCATGCCCAGTATTTTGGACCTCGTCATTAATTCCATTTCTCCAAAGGGGGTTACTCGGTCCCACTTCCCACGGACCGAACGGGCCCTTCTCACTGCGACTCACCCATTCGCAATGACCGCTTTCTGTACCCCCTTCGGCAGTGAAAAGATAGTAGTATTTTCCGCGCTTAAATATATGTGATCCCTCCGAGACGCCAGACGTAGACTCTCGGATGAGCTTCGGTTCGGATGTGGAAGCACCGCTGGCAAGATCAATGGTAGCGATATGAATGGCAAAGTCTTTAAGGTTTGCGTTCGGCGTTCTATTTAGTTTGCGATAAGTTGACGATAGGTAAACTGTGCCATCATCGTCCCAAAACAGCTTGAGAAGTTCTTGTTAGAACAGACGTGCACGGGGAACATGGTGAGGGACGAGAAATACGTACATCCTGATCAAACCCGACCTGGTCGAAAAACACCGGGTCCGACCAGGAATCTGAATCCCAGATGTTCTCTGTCTTCACGTAGAACCCGCGCGGCCAAACCCGATCATCGTCCTGCGGCCGATAGCGTTCGAAGCTGGCAGCAATTATGTAGTAGACACCGTCATGGTATCGTAGGGTGGTCGCCCAGACTCCACCGCCAGGTTCGGGGGTCTGGATGTGGATCTGACTGCGTCTGGTCAATGCGTGGCCGATCAGGGTCCAGCGTATCAGATCAGTGCTATGATATATTGGAGCCCCAGGGAAGTATTCGAAAGAGGAGGTTACGAGGAAAAAGTCATTCTTCACGCGAATGATGGAAGGGTCCGGATTAAATCCGGGAATAATCGGATTGTTGTACATGATGACAGCGGTCCAATCTATATTGTTAACATTCCTACCAAGAATAGTATGAGAGATGTCTGCCCGCGGTAAGCTAGTATTTATGGTTGTGTCTTGCAGCACAGCATTATTTAACTCTGTGACGGGATTGGTGGATAAATATCGCCTGTGCTCTGAATTGCCAATGGAGGATATTCTCAAAACAATATCGTACGGAGTAAAGCGACCCAAGAATGGTTCTTAAAGGAGGTCTTGCAGGATCATTTTCTAACCCCACATGTTGGGGACATTTTCCAATAGGCCAGGGTCTGTAATAAAATTAATTAATTAGCCATATTCTTCCATTGACCCGTACGACACGCCCCCTCATACCTTATCTCCACTGGTCACTCCACTATTTACATACGCAATTATAGACGACCTCATCTGGTAAAATGTTGAGGTTCGTTCTGACGATCTTAGTAGTAAGTAGTAGTTCTCTCTGGGGTCCTTCCGTAACTTAAATTCTCTAACCAGATTTTCCAACAGCCTACAATTCCGTCGACGCCAACTAAAACGCCACTTGGTTCGAGCAGTGTCATGCATATAGTCAGTTCCCACATCATCAACCGCCGCGTTCCACCAAATTTCCAGAAGACTATTGTCTGAACATGCACGAGGCTTTTTCAACTTCCCCTTTGAGTAAAACAGAAATATGCCAGGTGTTGTCGCAAGGTTTCCTTCCTGTTTTGGTTATACACCTAGTGACCTTGAGATATCAGAACTGCAATCAAGGATACGAGCGTCCACGAGCAACCACGAGACCATAACGATGGGCATAAAGGTTCGAGCGATTCAAAAAAGGCCTTTGCCTGAGTGAGAAACTCCCGGATCATTTAAAGGTTCTAGCTGGAAGTTTAACCATATAGAATGGAAATCCTACCAAGATACGGAACCTGAATGATTTGCGCGGAGCAGCCGTGCTTACTATTCAGTGATGACCTTTTCACCACCTGATCTCCGTGTCCTGGTCATAGCTCTAGATCTCCAGGGGGGTTCGTTTGATAGATTTGCATCGATTTATCAGCCTGAGTGGGAATGAGCGACATAGCATATCGTTCTTCTATGCCGGTGTGCCGGTTTCAAGCTGTTTACGGGAGCCTGAGAAGGCGGAAAAATCCCCCCTCAGTTATGATGCGGGGCCGGATTGATGATAACACAATGAGTCAAGCGTGGGGACCGAGAATCTAGGTAGAGACTCGACAGAGGGTATGGCCTCTGAGATAAGGTGACTTTTTTAAGGGCTTTTCCGCGACCGATACGAACAACACGTGCTACATATATCTCAACGACGACGCCATGTGCCCTAGTCTAATATCACACAGTACTATTATATTATAGTAGACTAGCACAATCGGACCCCACTCAGGATTTTCCAACCTTCAAGATCGCATTCCCACCACCAGTTCGCACACATACCGTCATTCCCCCGACAACATGCCCATTCAAATCCGTTATGCGACTGAATCTGATAGCCCGGATTTGGTCCACATCAACACCGCCAGTTTCGCCCCGGGTCTATTTTACCAGAATGCGTTTGCGAACGTTCAAGCTTCGGCCCTACAAACGTTGAAATACGCACGAACTTTTGCACGATTCGTTGATCCCAAATACCATCTCTTAATTGCGACGGACTCCGAAACGGGGCGTGTCGTCGCCTTCATGCGAGTGGTTATTCCACTTCATTACCAACAAGATTCCCATTCACTTGCAAGGCTATCTGAGGATGCAAGTAAGATGGCGGCTAAACCAGATGAATATCTACCCGAAGGAATCAACAAGCGCGTTTATGCGTGTTATTTAGATATGCTGAAGACTTCGAGGGAAAAATATCTCGGAGACGATGATATGAGTGCGTATTCTACTTCCCCCTAGTTTTTCGCCTCTTATATTCTCGCTCTTCTCAATTAGCCCTTGTATATTTTCTTCTGCTGGGGAAGGCTAAACAGCACTATAGTTCTGGATTTCTTAGCCACAGACCCCGAGTACCAGGGGAGGGGAATTGGAAGTCAAATGTTGAAATGGGCTACGCAAAAGGCGGATACCCTGAATGCACGAATGTTTCTTGAAGCAACAGAAGAAGGCTATCCGCTTTATAAGAAGTATGGGTGGAACACACAAGAGGAATTCGTTCTAGACTTTGAGTCATTGGGGGGGGCATAACAAGGGGAGCTACTATATTATGATCCGAGATCCAATCCCCGCTACTAGTCCGCCTAATTAACCATATCTTGATTGTTATCATAACTTGGGCGCAGCTTACATTAGATATCGTTCCGAGAAGAGCAGTATAACGGATTCTTAAAGCCCGGTGCCTCAATACTATCTATTCAAGTCAAATCAGCGTCATGTCACTGAGTAAAGGGTTTTATGAAACCCTGTTTTGCTTTTCACTGGCCAGGATAAAGGTTCCAGGCAACCAAGGGCAAGCCCAGGGGTGTTCCCTTACAGAGTATCCACAGCTTCATGAGCTGGGATTGCCTGTCAAGCCACATCCGGGCCCCCACATAGCCGCTTACGTGCCTGCTTTTGATCTTCATCTACCTCCATCTAGGTGGCTTACCACGGTCCCCTCCGAGGAGATAGCAAAGACTTGTAGTATAAGGTCGTCAGCTGCCCTAGGATACCTGCTTCCGAAGCACACTCAAGCCCAGCGCTCCAGAGAAACCCCACAGGGAAATAGCTACAGAGTGTCCCACTATACCAGCGAATGGCACATAATCCACCGTCAGATGAACAGGAGTTCGCTCGCACTCGCTATCATTATGTGTCGCTTGAAGCGCTCGTGTGGGAACAGCAGTTTGACATACAATATAGCGATTATAGCACGCCCAACACCAGTTTCAGCAACGATCGCCTATTAATCCTTGATTATGAACGGTATTGTAGGAGCTGAAACAGTAATAGTTTCGTTGTTCATTTTTCCTTTTTTTTCATCGCGAATGTGAAACCTTAGCGATATTTCAGGGTCTACAGGTTTTGAACATATGTTCATATAAGAGGTTCGCCCAGGAGCCCGGTCCTTGTGGAGTATCATCCTAGTTTAGGGGGATATGGCGTTCGGCAGTCCAGGTACAGTACCTATTGCCTGCGTGATCAACAGCCCCCCAAAGCCTCCCGGAAGAGTTAGAGTTCTCCTGCCTCGTTCAGGCACTACCTAACATGGGGCAGCTACAGCTCTTGTCGCATATATGCTAGGTATGCAATAAAAAAAATATTTAGGTGGCAAATCTAGTTCTAGGTTTCTTTTATGGTAAGACCGATTTTGCGTCGATCGATTCAATTAATCTTCACCATCGAGCCATCGAGATTGTCAAATTGCGTAATTGACGCCCGGATAACAGTTCCAGGAGCTTGCTACCGGTTAACGCATTAATAAGGAGGCGTTCGTCGAGCTGGAATGACCCACGGATACCTGCTCGCTCGATTGGTCCCTTGATCTGTACTAGGATTGGGTTTCATGGCACTGGTAAAAGCTAGCTTGGTTTGGCTATACAGCAACGCCTAGTGAGTTCAATCGTTGGGTCAGTGGCTGAGGCCTACATTTTAGTTAGCATGCTATACCCTTCTTGAGAAACCGCATGCCATTGCCTATCCTGTCATCTATCACAATGCAGTTACTGTCGAAGCTTATAAAAGCTCCCCAAAGAAGTGGAGATCTCTCATCAAATCGAACAACTCCAGTCTCTGATCTCCGGTATTCATAATACCATATTACCGACTTTATCTTCGCACTAGCGAGATTTGCCGTCCATGGCCACGAGGGCTGCGGGACTTCTTGGTGTCGTTATATCCTTCCTCGTTCTCGGCTTGGGAACCGTGGCGTTGCGATGCTACGTGCGCCTACGGATGAAGAGGAGCTTTGGGTTGGATGATGGCCTGGCGGTCGGAGCACTGGTAAATTGCTTATCTTTGACCTAGACAACATATAGCACCCGGCCTCTTTCAACAATGCTGATACTTGTATATTGGAGATTTTCTTCATGATATCGGCATGCGCATTACTTGAAGGGGTTCGAATTGGCAGCTTTGGGCATTCCTGGACAGAATTAACGCCAGAGGTCCTCCGCAAAGCCTTGAAAGTAAGATTCTAAACAGTCGGACACTTCGATCATCAACTCATCATTGGCTCTAGCTTTTATTCCTTTACGAGACATCCTATGTCATCGCAACCACCATGGTCAAATTCGCCGTGGGTATATTTCTCTTACGCTTCTGTATCGAACGCTACCATAGATGGGTTATCTATGCCATTTTCGTCCTTCTCACTTGTCTCACCATTTTCATCTTCATCTTCGTTCTCCTTCAGTGCCGGCCACCATCGTGGTTCTGGAACCAAGCGATCAACCCACACGGCAGTTGCGATGGGAAGGGCCTCATCAGAGCTGCCTATGTGCATTCAGCCATTACAGCCTTGAGCGATTCAACCCTTGGACTCCTGCCGATCCTCATTGTCCGAAGTCTACATTTACCCCGCTACATCAAGATTCACGTTGCTGTGATTCTGGCACTTGGCTCAGTGTAATAGGTTCCTTCCAACGTCCTGAAGAAGTAAGATGCTCATGCTTCGCGTTTATTCGCAGTGCCTGTTTCGCAACGATTGCAAGGATGTGTTTTGTTCACCAGCTCACCGACCCGAAGAATCTATTCTATAATATCGGCGTGATATGCTGGTCTTATGTTGAGGTTGGCGTTGCACTCATTACCTCGTCTGCTGCAACGCTCCGCCCCCTGCTGGACCAACTAGAATGTTTCGTTCCCCGATGGCGACGTTTGAAGTCCAACCAATACACCTCGAATGGCTCGAATCATCATGTCACATCCCCAACAACCTTTGAGGAGGCGCTTCAACAGGATAGTCCAGGTATGGCTCTTGCCCCCATTGCCCCTTTATCCCAAGTATAAATGTACATACCAGGAAATTGAAGTAGACTTTCTCTCGGTTTTACGAAAAGTTGTGGCCAACTGTATGGTGGTAGCGGCGCTACCTCATCGTAAGGAAGCTGTTTTTAGCTCCGTGACAGCTATGGCGGGTTTTATATATTCTCGTACGTATTCGCAGGAATACATAGCGTAGAAACTTGGGAGGAAGACAGCTTTACCACGTGTTTAAGCCGGAATGCTTCCTCCCTCCATTTTTATTTTTCTTCTTCTTCTCTTTTTTCCCACTCACCCCCCTCTCCGTTTCCGATCCTCTGTTGAAAAAGGAGAACGGGAAGAAAAGGTGGAGTCCGTGAAGGAAGTGACCAAGTTAGCTCGCCCGTGTGTTTTCGTGGGTCCAACGGGGGAAAAGCCGGGGAAGTAGGACGGAAGAATCAATTGAAATGAGTGTGATTATGTTCGGGTTTCACGATGATGGCTTTTCTGGGACGTGAGGGTGGATCTGTCGTCATTCCCGTATTTCACATGTGATTGCGGGTTGGCCAACGGTGAAGGAAAAAGGAGTGCGACCCCGATTTGCTTCCTATCCACAATATTGTGGTTTTGTTTAGTCTCAAAGCTCTCACGGTTTCTGCTGGTGAGATCATGTGAAGTCGAGGGTTCTTAGCACGTGTCAAGCCTTATGTTTGGATGATTAGATGCTGTTTTTATTTCCTTTCCTCCGCGTCTCTCCTATTCTACGCCGGAGTGGCTTTCGGGTTGCATGGCGGAAAAGCAAATGTGAAATTGGGCTACAGCATCGAATTCGGAGGAGAAATTACTATTAAAACATAATGATTCTAGTGCTGAATGCTACTCCTACTGGTCTGGCTTGTCTGCTCGCAAGTAAAGATCGATCGAGTCACGTGTCCTGCGACGCGCGATGTGGATCTTACAGCATATGGGGAAACTTTTGATGTGAGGTTGGAGGTTTAAAGATTAATGGTCGCGACCAAAATGTAGCACACGGTATTTTTCTTCTATGGAATTACATTATACGACCCGATAGAGATCTGGTGTGAACTCTGTCGCATGTACATACTACGGCTGTAGATGCTGCGCTGGCCCTGCAACTGATCGTTATCAGATAACAAGTCCAGCAGGGGCAACAAGCCAATCATTATATACGCTCAGACTCTGATCGCTGTTGAACTGCTGCACGCCCTGCCGATTTCGGGACAGACCCCTGTACGCAGTGTAAGTTAAGTTGCCTTAGTGTTACGTACCTGGTAAGTATCTACAAGCCTAAAAGATGACTCGGTATCGTGAATTCCGATGGCTCGTCGGCCGAGAAAGTTACGGGTTACTGACCTGTCCGAATGACTTGGGGAGTTCGCCTCTTGCCGGTGAGGTAAGGCAGCAAGGCCACCAACCAGTAAAGAACAGCCGAGGCTTCTGCCCCATTGGGCAAGCGCCGCGTTCACCCTCGGTCATTTTGTCAAAGGTTTCTGGGGCATTTTCCCCGTGGAGTGAGTGTCCTTCCTATAAGTCACCCACTTCGCCTCCTCCCCCCATCTTTGTGACCAGATTTGTTTTCTTCACGATTCTCATTCTCTCCTACCAGTCGGACATTGTCCATTCCTTTTACAATTATCACAATATGCCTTCTCCTCCCCCCGCCTGGGTCCAGGCGTTGAAGCCGGCCGGCCCGCAAGGCTCCGAGCTGCTCGCCCAGGAGCGCGCCCAGTCCAACGTCGACGTTGACAAGTTGGCCGAATTATTACACACCAAGAAGGCATTGGACAGACAACAGCAAATCCTGTCCATTCTGGAGGCGGAAAAGGTGTTCGATAAATCAGAGAACTACACTTTGGGCCGGACAGAGAAGATTCAAAGAGCATTGGCCAAGGCGAAGCGCCTGCAGCAATTGGCAGTGCAACACAAGTGGTCTCAGGATGACTACTACATGGCCAACGATCTTTTGTCGGAGCCGACTCCTTATGGCCTCCATGCCAGTATGTTCTTGGTGAGTTACGCTGCAACGCTACCAGTCCATGCTAGCCGACGTGCGACCACTAACGAACATTCGATTAGGTCACTTTGCGCGAACAGACTACCCCTGAGCAAAAGAAGCTCTTCCTTGAACCAGCGTCGAAATACGAGATCATTGGATGTTATGCACAGACGGAATTGGGCCATGGTTCCAATGTCCGTGGCTTGGAAACAACAGCCACATGGAACCCTGACGACAAGACTTTCACCATCCACTCCCCTACCCTGACTGCCTCGAAGTGGTGGATCGGCTCTCTGGGTCGCACTGCCAACCATGCCGTGGTTATGGCCCAGCTGTTCATCGGAGGCAAGAACTATGGTCCCCACCCGTTCGTTGTCCAGATTCGCGATATGCAAACCCACCAGCCCCTGGAGAATATCTACGTGGGAGATATTGGTCCTAAGTTCGGTTACAAGTGAGTGGTCCTTTTCATATGTATATCCCTTCCTCGCGTACACAGGGTGCTGACTGGACCAGCACGATGGACAATGGTTTCCTTCTCTTCAACAAGGTCAAGATTCCCCACGTCAACATGCTGGCCCGTTTCTCCAGCGTCGATAAAGAGACCAACAAGTATTTGCGCCCGGCATCTCACTCTCTCTTATACGGCACCATGACCTGGGTCCGCTCCAACATTGTGCTGCAGGCCGGTAGTGTGTTGGCTCGCGGTGTCACTATTGCCACCCGTTATTGCGCGGTCCGTCGACAGTTCCAGGACCGTGATGGCGGTAAGGATGCTGGAGAAAACCAAGTCCTGAACTACAAGATGGTCCAGGTCCGTCTTCTTCCTTTGCTCGCTTCCATGTATGCTTTGCACTTTACCGGTCGCGGTATGATGCGGCTCTATGAGGAGAACCAGAAGCGGATGAAGGGCGCCGTTGAGGCTGGTCAGGACAAGAGAGGCGCAGGCCCTGAGCAGCTGAGAGCTGGTGCAGACCTGCTGGCAGATCTCCATGCCACTTCCTGCGGTCTGAAGGCGCTCGCTAGTACTACCGCCGGAGAGGGTCTCGAGGTGTGTCGTCGTGCCTGTGGTGGCCACGGATACAGCAACTACAGCGGCATTGGACCGTGGTATGCGGACTACCTTCCTACGTTGACCTGGGAGGGTGACAACTACATGTTGACACAACAGGTTGCAAGATATGTAAGTTGCTAACCGTTGCTCTTTCGTTACGCTCACATGCTGACTCTCGTAGCTTTTGAAATCCGCACGTGCCGTCCTTGCCGGAAAGGGAACGAACAATGACACGTCCCAGATTCTGCAGACATATCTCTCTCGTCGGGAGAAGGGTGCTTCCTTTGATATCCTGGAAGAGGATAAGGACATCGTTGCCGCCTTTGCCTGGCGTACCGCCCATCTCACCTTCGAGGCCCTGAAGCGCAGAGACGTTGAGAAGCGGTCATGGAACAGCCTGCTGGTCGACTTCTGGCGCCTGTCGACCGCACACTCGCAGTACCTGGTTGTCAAGAACTTCTACGAGGCGGTCACTTCGCCCCAGCTCACATCGGAGCTGGACCCCGAGACTCTGTCCTTGATGCACTCGCTCTTCCGCCTGTACTCTCTGCACACTTTGGAGCGTGAGGCTGGTGAGTTCTTCTCGTCCAGCGCTGTCACCACCCGCCAGATCTCGCTGGCGCAGTCGAACGCTGTGATGAAGCTTCTGGACGAGATCCGGCCCCACGCAGTTCGTCTCGTCGATGCCTGGAAGTTCCCTGACTGGCAGCTGGACAGCAGTCTGGGCCGCTACGATGGTGAAGTCTACCCGGACCTGTTCCGACGTGCCTCTCAGAACCCGGTCAACGACCTGGTATTCGACCCCTACCCATGGAATGAGAATGTGCTGAAGAACAGCGCACCCAAGAGCAAGCTTTAATTTCTTCATTTGGTGTATTTTCTGGCGATATACTCTGGTTTGGTTTGCATTCATGTACAGTTTAGGTTTTTGGGATGAATTTGCTACGACGGGGGTTATAGATATAGACTATCTATAGATTAGAAATATAGACCCTAGACAGATCTTGGACTACAACGATTGTACAAATAAGGATCGATATCGTAGTTTGAGACTCACTGACCTTTATACAGAGGGAGTCGCTTGTGAGTATCCATGGAGAGGAGCAACAAATAGACCATCACACGCTATCTTGCATAGATCACATTTTTAAGGTCACTAGGGGTGTGAAACAGCGATGAAGAAAGACAAAAGGAATCTTTACCTCCGAGGACGATTATACCTGTTATGCATCGAAGCTCAACCACGTAGATGGCATATATTTCGTATGGTGTCAAATTTAATTGGAGCTCAATTTGATCTAAACATTGTATGTACGTAACTTCAAATCTCGTAGATCATGATAGAATCGGGCTATCTATATATACAGTACAACCCAAGAAACGTCATCCAACACTAATGCCCCACCATAGCCTGATGCGCAGGGCCATACCGATTGCCGTGCGGCTTCGCAGCATCAACAATCTTCCTCATCTCCAGCTTCTCTTCCTCCGTCAACTCAATCTCCCTCGAAGCCCAATTCGACTCTAACCGACTCGCCTTAGTCGTTCCCGGAATAGCGATGAACCCTTGCGCAGCGACCCAGGCAAGTGCAATTTGGCTAATCGCACAGCCCTTCCGAGCAGCGAGCTTCTTGATTTCCTCTACGATCGCTCGGTTCTTGTAGAAGTTCTCGCCTTGGAACTTGGGACCTAGAGTAGAAAATGTTAGAAAGCGTGGAATTCGGGGTAAAAATGGGAGAGACTTACTCTTGCGACGGAAGTCATCTGGAGCAAAGTCATCTGGGGTCTTGAATGGGAAGTTGTCGACGAGCCATCCGTGGCCTAGAGGGCTGTATGCTACATAGGCTACGCCTAATTCTCGGGCTGTATCGATGAGACCGTCTGTTTCGTGGAGGGTTTCGAAGGCTGAGTATTCGGCTTGGAGGGCGTCGATTTTGGCGACTGTTGTCTTTCTGTCAGATATACTTCCAGATTTGGGGTAAAACAACGAATGAAATGGAGAAAGGAAAGACTAACTGGAATTAGCTTTGCGGAGCGTCGCTGCCGAACACTCGGAGAGACCGATGTATTTGGTCTTGCCGGCTTTGCGGATTTCATCGAGTGCCGGGATGGACTCCTCTAGGCGGGTGTCTAATCCTCATTAGTCTTGGATTGATATCTACTACTTTGAAGTGCGTGACTTACTGGGATCTATCCGATGCAGATAGTATAGATCTGGGGTGAAGCCCAACCGTTCAACAGTACCCTCGATGTACTCCTTAATGTGGGCGGCAGAGTTGGTGACGCTGCCATCTCCGAAAACATTGAAGCCGCATTTCGAGGCGACTGGGTGTGAAAAATGTTAGATTCATGGGGGCATGCTTAATTTTTATGGTGAGCATAGAAGGATATGACTGACTGAAAACCTTGTCACGGACGTTATGTTTCCTGATAAAGTCCCCGAGAAGCTTCTCATTGACACCGGCTTGATAGACAACCTTTATTCCGCTGGTTAGATTCGGTTGCAGTATTTCAACGGGGCTGATTTAGCACTCACGGCCGTGTCCCAGAATGTACACCCTAATTCAATTGCTTTCAGGAGCACGGGTTCGGCTTCCTCTAATGTGAGATTGCTACCTAAACCGAAGCTTAGACCCATGGCACCAAAGCCTGGGGTGGGCACTTCGAGGTCGGCGAAGGGGAGTGTTTTGACCATTTTGGTGGTTTGAGATGGATTTGCGGTGGTAAAGTCCTTGGTTGTGGAAGTTCACGTTTTAATATTTGTTTCACTGGGGTCAATTCTTGGTGGACGTGGACATATTTATATATATTGCTTTTCGGTAGTTGACGTCGATGATACAATCCCACTAAATCCGGTACAATATAGCAAAGACACCCCCCTCAGCCAATTAATTTACCTTAACACTGTCAATTGCTGACAAGCTCCGGGTTTACTCGCTTATATCCGAGTATCCGATAAACACCGTTTGGCGCTTACTGCGGGCGTGGTAGTGGTGGGGCTCTGGCGATATTGCTTCCTCATCTGCTGTGGCGATCGATCGTGGGTAACATTGCCTTGGCTTTGTTCTGACCGTCAGTTTCTGGTTTCTTTTCGCTGGAAATGGGGTCTAGTACTCTGATCTAAGACAGCCATTTCTCTAAACTAGTTTTGTTCATGACATAGTCTCTTAACCTTGCACAAACCTATATTAATTAGCTTAACCTGGACTACCATCTCAAAGAAGATATTTTCTTTGGTTTAGCTATGCTGGAGCGTATGTATTGCTAGAATTGTTTTATAATATAATATTCAACATACAAGAACATTTGTGATTTTATTCGCGTTATTCCAACTTTTCATCTCTGAAGGGTACATGCATATAAGATCATTGAAGCAATCGCGGCGCAAAGGGAACCTAGTTTGTCAGGGGTACAGTACAAGTGACAAGACCCATACAGGGATTAAACTGCTGGGCAAGAGTATAAAGCTTTTGTGGTTTTGTGGATCTCCGATCTTCTCATCTGTCGATTGATTCGTGGAGTAGTTTAGCGTCTGTAGGCCTCGACACGGAATTCCAAGGATCGCGAATAAAATGATGGGGATTTAATCCTTGTGGATACTGTAATTATAGAGAAGTTGACGGGCAATTATGCATACATTGAATTGTTTCAGTAATTGTAGATGGAGATTGTTGACGCTGCTAAGGCTTAATATACTAAGCCTGATATTTGTGCCATTTTCGAGACGATTATACTTATTGTGAGCAGCTGATTGTAAAAACAAGAATAGGCCACAGTGCTTAAACGTATTCGAGAAACAAGCGTTCCACTGGGCGTTCATAGAAGTTTACAGAGGCAACATGCCAAGAGCGTGGTTTGTGTATATAATAATAGATATTATACTGTCTAATCTATGTACATCTCTTCATACCTCTAAAATCATCACATCATAATCTAATCAAAGATCGACGGCTTATAAACCGAAGGATCAATATAAGGAGTACCACCACGTCTGGTGAATCCCCAACGAATCTGATTCGCCATGGAGATCTCGGTATCGAGATGCTGAGCGAAAGTCCAAGCCAGACCAGGGTCCTTCTGGAATCCACGTCCAACAAGCGCCACATCGATACCCTCCTCCTCGAGCAACTGGTTGGCCTGCTTACCGTTGGTGATGGCACCAACGGCAGAAACGAGCATCTTATCGCCAACGGCCTTCTTCACAGCCACGGCGAAGGGAACCTGGAACCCGGGACCGGACTTGACCTTCTGCGCGGCGTGCACACCACCGGAGCTGATATCGATCAGATCCACAGCACCCTGGGCCACGAGCGCCTGAGCGAACTTCACCGTCTCGTTGACATTGAAACTCTGCTCGGGAAGCACCTCCTCGAGCCAATCGGAGGCAGACACACGAAGGAAGACGGGAACATCAGGACCGACAGCATCGCGAGTCAACTGGGCAATTTCCAAAGGAAGACGAATCCGGTTCTCGAACGAACCACCATACTCATCGTCCCTGTTGTTCGCCGCAGGCGACAGGAAACTCGACAGCAGATATCCGTGGGCATTGTGAATCTCAATGAAATCCGCGCCAGCAGCAATAGCCCGCTTACAAGCCGCCACCCAGGCGTTCTTGAACTCCTCGATATCGGCCTTCATCATGGCCTTGGGCTTCGGGAACGAGTCAGCAAAGGGGATATCGCTAGGTCCCTTGACATTCTCGGGCCATCCGCCCGCTTGCTCGGAGGCGACGACAGCACCCGACATCCATGGCGGAATGGTACTGGCCTTTCGGCCGGCGTGCGCGACTTGCACACCGATTTTCTGGCCCTGGCTGTGCACGAACTCGATCACGCGCTTCATGGGTGCGATGTGGCTGTCTTTCCAGAGACCGACATCTTGGGGAGTGATACGGCCCTCTGGTTGCACGGCTGTGGCTTCGATCATCATGAGTCCTGGGCCGCGCTGGGCGATTCCACCCAGGTGCGCGACGTGCCAGTCGGTCATGTGGCCATCTTCGGCGGAGTATTGGCACAATGGGGCCAGCTGTTTCTTGTCAGTTATTGTATTGAGACGAGCTGAAGTGGCGGCGTGGAATACTTACACCCAGGCGGTTCTGGAAAGTGACACCGCGGACGGTGAAAGGCTGGAAGAGCTTAGGGACCTTCTGGCCATTGGTCTGAGGGTTGGCAGCTGTTCCGGCGGGGGGGTTCTGGGCGGGAGTAAAGTAGGAGATGCCCTGAGCGGGCTCGACGTAGTCGGGGGTATGCATTTTGTATGTACAGACTGTATTATGTATTTTGATTCTAATAGTACAAAAGATGTTGAGATGGAAAAGTAAGCACTTTATATACTACACTCCTTACACTGATAGAAAGCCTTCGAAATGTGCTCCACAGCCTTTTGATTTCAAATCCCCGCCGCAGTGGATATACTTAGAGGCGACTTGTCACGGCGATATACCGAGTTTTAAGGACAACATGATACCCAATCTTACTCCGTTTCAGACTTTTTTTTCCCCATCGATAAGCCGAGCGTTGTTCTGATTGGACGGTGGGCTGGGGGTTTTTCCTTTAGTTCGATCGAGTTTCCGGCTAATCTTTTCAGGGCTTGAGAATGCACTCAGCAGGCAATTGGTGGGCGGTGAGCTTAGTCAAAAGCGCGGAGGATTATTCAGCAGTCGGACGAATGATTGTGGGAAAGTCTCCGAGGTCACGTGATTTGACCGTTTAAGGGTATATTGACACGTGATTTGATATGACGTCGTACTCGGGGGATGTCTTTAGGTGTCCTGAGGTCCAGGTTAATGATCGTGTTGGTGTTTTGATTGGATAATGTAATCTGCTCTAAGTGCCGTGGCCTGCTAGATGGCGGTGATTGGACCAATTTCGAGGGGTCGCGATTCTTTTACACATGGGGAATGATCGGCGTTCGTTGCTTCTATGCTCCGCTGGTATGTATAGCAGTGTACAGGCACTAGACAGATGCTTTACTGTAGCTATTCATCGGCATAGGATCAGTCTATTAGGAATACCAGGCATATATAAGACTTGTTGGATTTGAGGTCGTTGGGTAATGGAAATCTAGTCCTCAAGCCACCTCCTCATCCCAGGTTGCCGTAACCGAGGTAATCACGCGCTGTCCCACCGAGGCACGTTAGTGTATATCAAAGCTATGAACCTGGACCTCACCAACATCGGACGGACATGTTTGTAAGTGAAAGGTCGTTGTAACAAATACCTTGGCACGTCATGGAGTCTGGACCTCGTCACGCCACTGTGGACCGTGGACATATCACGAAACCTGAGCGGTTGGAGAACACATATACTTCCGATACCAGTCTTCAACGATCTCTCTCCTGTACGTTTGACCATGACCATACTCTGTGAGAATTTAAGAGTGGACTAATAAGTATAGGGTACCTGCCGTCGCAGAAGCTAGAGCAGGCTCGGCCACAATTGGTAGAATTGGGCGAGGAAGCTGTGTCGGACCAGATTAGGGAGTGGAGCGCGGATGCCGAAAGGCATCAACCATATGTGAAGGGATTCAATGTCTGGGGTCAGCGGTATGATTATGATCGACTTATTACCAGCGAAGGGTGGAAGCAGCTGGGTAAATGGGGTGCCCGCCACGGGTGAGTTGTCTTTGTCCTTGTACAATCCACCTATTTACTGACCTGCTAAGTGTCGTGTCGTTGGGATATGAGCCGACATACGGGGCAGAGAGACGATTGGTTCAATATGCTGTGTGAGTTATTCTCATTTGCGCTGTGGTTTTTTGAACTTCAATCCTTACCCGGAGATAGGAATTACCTTTATTCTCCCTCGTCTGGGCTTTATTCCTGCCCTATCAGCATGTCTGATGGAGCCGCGCTTGTTTTGAACAAGGAGCGCAAGAACCTACCCCCGGACCACCCCTTCCAGACGGCGTATCAGAAATTAACCTCTAAGAAGGAGGATTATTGGACTTCTGGTCAGTGGATGACCGAAAGAGCAGGAGGCAGCGATGTCCAAAACACGGAGACTTGGGCCACGTACTCGCCTTTGTCGCATAAGTCGAAGGCCTCGAACGGTCTTGATGAGGGCGACTACCTGATCAGCGGGTTCAAGTTCTTTTCTTCCGCCACCGATGCTAATGTCGCTCTGATGCTTGCTAAAACGCCTTCGGGACAGCTGAGCACATTCCTCGCACCGTTGCGGAAGACTGTTGTCGGGGAAGACGGTAAGCCTCGGGTGGTTACTAATGGTGTCCGAATCCATCGTTTGAAGAACAAGCTGGGGACTAAGGAATTGCCCACGGCAGAGTTGGAACTTAAAGACATGCGTGCTCACCTGGTCGGGACTGTCGACCATGGTGTCATGGCGATTGCACCATTACTTAATATTACTCGAACTCATACGTTCATTGGATCGCTTGCCGCATGGCGGCGTGCCATTAGTATTACCAAGAGCTTTGCTAAGGCCAGGACAACGGTCGGCGAACCCTTGTGGCTCATTCCCATGCATCTGAGCCTACTAGCAGACCTGGAGGTGAAACATCGGGGAGCGATGAACCTCGCCTTTTTCACGGTTGCCGTCATGGGCGTTGTCGAAAATAACGGGGTCTCCACTCCTGCGGCGCATCTGCCCACAAAGGGCAAGGAAGCGCAGGTAGTGTTCCGGGCTTTGACAGCCATTGCTAAGGCAGTGATTAGCAAGAACGCAATTGCAGGGATTCAGGAATGCCAAGAGGGAATGGGCGGGGTTGGATACATGGATGAACCGGACGAGCCGGAGTTCAACATCGCTCGACTGCTACGGAACACTGCTGTGAACTCCATTTGGGAGGGAACTACTAATGTGCTGGCTAGTGAGCTCGTTCGCTTCCTTGTCAAACGTGATAATCTGGCTATCTTCTCGGCCTGGTTCGAGCGTACGTTGGCGTTGATTACGACGTCAGAGTTTGCAGGCGCAGTGAAACGGGCATGGTCTAGCTTCATTTCTCGGGTTACAGCCACCAGCGAGCCGCGGTTCATTCTGGCGGATGCTCGCCGAGTCATGTTTACCCTTGCCTGGATACTCAGTGCTGCTCTTCTTGCTCTGGACGCTGAACGAGACGGTGATGGTGTTGCGGGCGAAATTGCACGACGGTGGATCCTGTCCGGTGAAGGCGGCGTTGGCGATATGGTTTGGCGAGACATTATCAGCGTCCAGCGTACTCCGGGTGTAGGGCCCTCGTCGATAACAAACGAACATCTGCGCTGGGACTGTCGCATTGCCTGGGGGGTGGAGTTGCCAGCGAAGCAAGTGTCGGGCCATCGGTCATTTCAGGGCAACGGCTCGAAGTTGTGAATCGCATCAAGCATGTGGTTGCCGTTGCCATTATGATTCCTCTGCATTTGCCAGAGAGTTAAACCATGGGACCCACATTGCATTAATTGTACATAACGTATATAGCGACTACTATAGTGAACTAGTTAAGGCCCTTTCCCGTGAAGGCTGGATTCCACAAGGAAAAGGGGTTAAGTAGAAAACTAGAAAACTATAACAAAGAAAAAGGGGCACATGGAGACTGCTAATGCCCTGAACTCTAAAGCGTGGGAAGCCTGCCAACTCTGTCTGATGCATTTTGTGGACCAGATAAACCAGATCATCCTTTTGATGCAGATTTCTTGATTTCTCGTGGGATTAGTCTGTACGATAAACTTCCGGGTGGGCAACAGATCAATTTTCACTGGAGTCTGGCAGCGGGGAAAGTCGTGCCGATGGGTCTCCGGACATCCTTGAAGGGTTGTGGATCGATTTAATTGTCTAATGACGAAGACTTGCGCATGAAAGTTGTCGCAGTTCGGAAAAAGGGGATCTGACCATTCGCAAATTAGTTGCCCTTTTAGGGCACCAAACGTTAGCCCGGTGGGGAGTCACGGGACGATGGGTCTCAACGGTCGTTAGCGTCTCACTAGTACACAGTATCTCTTTCACTTCCCTTGATCAAGACGCATCTCTCCAGTCTGGATGTCCAGCCTGCATGGATTCGTTCTCTCCTGTTGGTCAAAGGGAGAGAGAGAATCCACCATCTCCACCGCTATTGGCGGACCAGGCAATCAATCACTCCACCTCCTATAAAACAACATTATTATAGAGTGAGACTAGCGGAAGGATCGGCTGCGACGCTGATTGTTCGGCGAGGGAGAAAAACCACGCGGTGTAACTCAACTAATGTGGAATCGCAATCGCACTCCGGTTTGAAGGATGCCGTGTGGGGAAGAGTCCAACTGTCTCTGAGAAGGAGGGAAAGTTTCAACGGTCGCAAGTTTAATACTGTCAAAGCCCCTGTCTTTGCACTCTCTGTGCATAATCCCCGCTGCTAACGGCCATTGCTCTGTCCTCTTAAAACTCAAGACTCCAGCCCATTACAGACACAATGACCTCGTCGCAAAATGAGCGGCAACAGCTGGCCGTTCCTGAGTTACAGATACTAGCGATGGATCCTGTGCAGGTCGATGTGAGTTGATGCCACTCCCAGCCGTGCTTGATGTAAATTGCGGTGAGCGTAGCGGCTCATGGTGATTTATCCTAGGATGAGGTATTTGAGGACTCTATCTACAACGACTCGTGAGTAGCTACAACCATCATTATTTCACGGTATATCGATTGTTAGACTGACAAGAACTCTAGGTTAAACTCAGCTAGTTTTGTCACATCACTGAACTCCAGTATTCTCAATTACAAGTAGGTGAACCTTAGCTAACCCCAACAATGAATATATGTCTGACAAAAGTGGTATTCTAGATACGAGGTTGGTGAGCCGATCCTGCAAGCAACCCATGTTGCTGACTCAAAGCTAGAATGGCCGTCGTTATCATGCATTTCGCGAAGGAACTTATCTAGTAGTATGTACATATCCCTAGCCACCTCCTGATCGATCGACAGGTATACCTAACAGCCTACAGCCGAATGATGAGGAGGAGCAAGATCGCATGGACCTAGCCCACCATGTATATCGCTTACTCCTTGGAGGCGCTCTATATCTTGCTCCAATTAAAAATGATGTCCAGCGGGTGCTGGACCTCGGCACTGGAACTGGTATCTGGGCGATCGATTTTGCAGAGTATGTGCATGGCACTGCAAGCATACAAACTTCCTCCACAGTTCGACTCCTGACCTTGTGACCCTAGTGAGCATCCATCTGCACAAGTTATTGGAACGGACCTAAGTCCTATACAACCTAGATGGTATGCAGTACCTCAGATTCTCTGGGTCTTACTAATAGGGGTAATTGCTAGGGTGCCACCAACTTGCTCATTTGAGATCGATGACTTTGAATGCGATTGGTTGTATACCAGACCATTTGACTTTATACATGCTCGTGAACTGGAGGGCTGTATAGGCAACGATGTCAAGTTCTTTAACCAAGCGTTTAAACATCTAGCTCCTGGAGGATATTTTGAAGTACAAGCAGTCACTTCGCCTTTTCTTTCCGATGATGATACATTAGACAAGGCTCCAAATTCTAAGGCGTGGATGGACAATCTTGTCAAGGGGTTGCGGAAGTTTGGTAAGCCAGCTGATAATGTCAGCGGCTGGAGAGACAAGCTGAAGGATGCTGGCTTCGTCGATGTACACCAGGAGATCCGCAAGGTTAGTAGTATCTAGACTGGCATAGATAGGGTGTATTATCTCAGTTGTTACTAACTGGCGAATGGTAGCTCCCAATTGGACCATGGCCTAAGGATCCTAAGTTAAAGGAGATCGGAAAATACCAAGGTGTCCAGGAGCTTCAAGTCATTGACTCTTACACTCCTGCTATCTTTTCACGCATTCTTGGGTGGAGCCACGAGGAGATTCAAATTTCAATGGCGAAGGTCAAGCGTGAGTTGAGGGATCCATCCATCCATTTGTACCTGCCGGTCTATTTCATATATGGACGGAAACCCTTATGATTATGATTCACGATTTTCTTTTTGCCCTGTCATGAATTCTGTATATCCCTTGTTTGTTTGTCTTTTATTTGGCTCATGGTTTCCCCCTCCATTCCTTTCGATCCGGTTTTAGTGATGCGCCCTTGCCTTCCCTCGCCTATCACGCACGTTTCATGTCTTGACTGTGAGCGGGTACAAAGGCATTGTATGGTGGAGCAATAATTTCCAGTGATACCAGTATCATTTCTTCCAGGCCAGGGAAGACAATTATTCCTTTCGTGTCAACCCCGAATTGCCAAAGTTGATGCATGAAGATGTCAAAACCTGGAGAATGTGGAATATTCAAGCTTTAATACACGCTGCGAAACATGACATAACTCTCTGCTAGACCAGGCAGTTTGCATTCGCCATTATCTACACAGCTCACTCGAGGAGATATGTCTATTGCCGAGGATTGTCGGGATGGTCTATCACAACCTTTGGACAGGCAGTGTGCCTTGGCGAGGCATTTAGAAATAGAGCCAGACTATCACGCTGTTCTAAAAGATTATGATCATCCTTTTGCAGCCCACTACCCCTGCTCACGCGCGAATGGGAGCAGGCCTAGCAGCCGGGCACCACAACTCGACAATCTTCTGCATACCCCTTGACAAGTGGTTCGAGTACCAGATGTGGGTATAGATCCATTGCGTCTACGCCAAGGGTGGCATTGCTGGAGTTAATCTTGAATTGTATGGTGCTAGCTACGGGCTGTAGTGAGGCATTTCTATGTGATTCTTGCACGGCTGGCGTCAAAAATGGTTAGAGAGATTTGCCGCTTGGCTGAGAAAATATGAGGGTAATGCCGAGTAGGTGATTGAAAGCCCGGCTCAGATCGTCCACCTTCTTGCACGGATCATTCATTGTCGAAAGCTATCCTATCCCACAAATGGACAAACAAACGATACAATCGTGAGGTTCTGAATCGTCGCAACTGTCCGCGTCCATCAGACCATGTATCAAACGAGAGTGCTTCTAAGCCGACATGTTATCTTTGCATCGAAGTACAAATGGGTATTTGCTAGCCCAAAGGCACTGCACTTGTTTGGAGTCAGTACAGTATCAATAACCAGCTCTCATTACAATGTTAGGCAACAGTTCTATGGTCTCTCCACCGACAAGATGCCGAGGCTTGGCAGCGGCGTCGGGCTTGATGGTAGGTTTGGTACACGAAGATTGAGAAGGATGACTACTCGTGACAGTCGCCTACGATGCATGAAACTATTGTTCCTGTGAGCTCAAAGGAATGAAGCTTGTTTATAGTACCCGATAGTGCACATAACATCAGTTCCCGCAGGCAACGCGTTCTTGGGCTTTCCCAGATCTTGCGATGGCGCGGTACCACTTTCACCCAACTATTTCCCGCTCGAAAGTGTCTTGTGGTAATCTAGCCAATTAGTTTAGTCTCATCCCCGAGTATTCCTTAGATACCAATGGCAGTTGCCTTCAGGGGCCACTTTGATTGACCCAGTCTTGGTCTTGGGCTGAAGTTTCTCGGTCTTTAACCAAGACAGCTGAGCCTCGATGTCGGGCATAGTGACATCGGCCATGCCCTTGAACCCCACATACCTTGCAACCTCAGGGCTGGCAGGGCGAGAGCCAAGACTTGGCTGCCTTTCAGATCCCTTACTGAGACGAACCGGCCGTCACTTTGCCAAGTCCGCCATGGCGGAAACTAGGACTCTGGCTCTGGGCGCTAAGGAGCCACTGAAAAAGTCACAGCACGGCGGAGGTCTAAAATATGGGACCCAAATTGTACTGTCACTCTCATACCCCGGCCTTCCCCACAGCAAGATAGTGGTATAGCTCTGTTCGAGGGCACTCAATTATAAAACCGGGGACGTTTCCCTGGGGTCCGGGGTAAAACCCACACTCAACTACAACTCACTTCGCCAACATGTCAAGTCCGGCGGAAAATGAGAAGAACCTGGAGACATTGTTCCCCAGTTCAGAACATATTCAAGAAACATCCAATTCACCACCTCCTTCCGCTCTGGACAGGGAAGCGCGTATACGGTATGAGCGTGACCGAGCAACTTTTGGCACCAAGTTCTTCGAGTACTTTGGATGGATGGGCGACTTGCCCGAATGGAAGATCGGTGGGGAGAAGCTCAAGGGTAGAGCCCTGAACTGGTCCATAGGGTTCATCGCTAGCTGCGGGTTCCTCATGTTCGGCTATGATCAGGGTGTACTGAGTGCCCTGCTCACGCTTGATTCCTTTCAGGAGGTGCTTCCACTCATGACCCCTCGCGATAAATCAAATGATCTTTGTTGGCTCGATAATCCGACCAACACCATTCCCCATCCTACGTACTGCACAGGTGATGCAAATACCCAGGCAGCAGGAGTCGCGATATACCAGATCGGATGCTGGTTGGGTTCACTCGTAATTCTATCGTACGGTGAACGCTGGGGACGAAAGTCGAGTACATTCTGGGGTTCACTTATTATGATTATTGGGACGGTTATGCAAGCAGCCTGCTTCGACTACGGCTTGTTCGTGGCAGGTCGTGTTGTTGGAGGTATTGGCAACGGCATGGTAACATCAAGTGAGTCTTTACCGAGGTATCTTCTACATAAAACGATATTGACTGGAGTAGCAATTCCAACATGGCAGTCCGAATGTGCTCGGCCGCACGAGCGCGGTGTCCTGATCATGCTCTCGGGTGCTCTTATATCTGCCGGTGTTATGATCGCATACTGGGTTGATTACGGGTTTTACTTCCTGACTGGTTCTGTCCGCTGGAGGTTCCCACTGATGTTCCAATCATTCTTTACTATCATTGTCATGATCGGTTTACTTTATCTTCCTGATTCCCCAAGATGGCTTACCATGCAGGGACGCCATGCTGAGGCTCGCGATGTCACTGCTCGGCTTGTTGGTAAGCTAGAAGACGATCCAGCGGTCGAAGAAGAGTTACGCAACATCAACGAAGCGTTGGAGGTCCAGAGCCGCGGCGGTAGCTTCAAGTACCGTGAGCTGCTCACCAACGGACCGTCGCAAAACCTCCGTCGTTCTACTTTAGCCATGGTCTCACAATTCTTCCAACAAATGACGGGGATCAATCTCGTGACATATTACGCAACCATGATATTTGAAAATTCACTCGGATTCGGACCAGGAATGGCACGTCTTCTGGCCGCCTGTAATGGAACAGAATATTTCATGGCGTCACTCATAGCACTGCCACTCATTGAACGAACTGGCCGGCGGAACCTGATGATAATCGGTGCCTTTGGAATGATGGTCTCGATGGCTATTCTAGCTGGCACTGTATCCACGGGCGAAATGTTAGAAAATGGAGCACCCAAGCTCGAGACACAATATGGCGTCACAGCGACTGTGTTCTTATTCGTTTTCAATTCGTTTTTCGCCATTGGCTGGCTGGGAATGACCTGGCTATATCCAGCTGAGATCACAAACCTTCGCATTCGCATTCAAGCCAACGCCCTGTCCACCAGTTCCAACTGGATGTCCAACTTCCTTATTGTCATGATCACGCCACCTGCTTTTGCGAACTTGGGGTACCAGACGTACATAATTTTCGCGGTCTTCAATGCTGCACTTATTCCCTGCGTTTATTTCTTCTTCCCTGAGACCAAGGGCCGCACACTGGAAGAACTGGACGTGGTCTTCGCTAGTGCTGATGCTCAGGGCATCTCACCAGTGAAGCAGAGCTTGCAGATGCCAAAATTGGCCGGTGACAGCCTGGACCGAGAGTTGGCGCGGTACTTTGGTACAAGCAGTGATGAGGAGACTTCGAGGGAGAAGTAGATGGCATTTATTGGGACCTTGTGTTGGTTGTTGGTGGTTCGGGCATCACCTTAGAAGACCAGCATTTTCTTTGCTTCCACCTTCGTACTAGAACACTTTGGCTTTGAGTTGAAAGCAATGTTGGGCTTGTACTGGCGAGAAGCCCAATGTACATACTTGTTTTATTTGCCCAGCTCTAGTTAATAGACATAGATTGTGCTTTGACTATACCTGTTAATCGATCTTTGCACATAGTCGAACCGGCAATACTTAGACATGAAGCTATAGAATGGGAATATATCGCCTATATAACTCGCCGTCCACTCAGCCATTTTAGAACCATAGTATCGACCCTAATCTAAATTCCATTCATAACCCATCAACCCCGTCCCATCCCAGTACCCAACATACTCACACTCCAACTCCCCAGCCTTCAAAAAATACTCGTCTCAACCCACAAACAAAGTCCCCCTGTCTCAGCCAACTCCCCACCAAGTCCATAAGGCTTCAAAAAACTCCCTCCTAAGCAGCACACGCTCTTTACTCATCCTTCCCATCCGCTCTATACATTCCATATCTAGGAAATAAAAGAACTGCACCTTCCGATTATATCCCAACGCCTCGGGCTCCCCATGCCGAAACCTCCCACTCCGCGAGTCATAACACACCCGCGTCTCCAGAAGCCCCGTCCCGGGACCCGCAGACTGTAACACACTCATCCATCGCACGGTAGCCTCATCAAACCTCTCAAACCATGTCCTCCTCTCAACAGTCGTAATACCAGAATGATCCTGCCCCTCGACCACGAAACAAAATTCCCGGGGAACCGGATCATACGCACTCGGCCATATCGTATATCCCCCTTACCCTCTCTCCTGTTCGGTGTCACCTTCACCATACTAAAAGAAATCTTCCCCTGGGACCAGTAGTACCCGCGGTAGCAGATATACGACGGTAATAACACCACCAATACCCAGTCTTATCCGGCATGGGAGTGTAGTCCCCAAGTCAGCCCATACCGGGGCTTATGGACTTGTTTGTGCTATGTTGTGTTCTTTCGGATGTCGCGGTGATGGTTTCTTGGTATATGCCTGCGTCATCCGGGAGGGCGTTCCAGAAGTTGGTTACGGGAGAGCTGTGCCATTTTCTTTCCTGGGAGATTTTTGTGAGCCAGTAGGTTAGATGGATTGTTGTTGTTATGGGTTAGGGCTGTATTGTTTTGGGGGTAGGTGCGGTGTTAGGAGGGTAGTGAGCTGGGTAGTTATGGATGAGGGTGTGTCTTTTATGTGGTGTTGGTATGCCGAAGATCTTGTAGACTATTGAAGGGGGGTTCGGGGGGACTTAGGGTGTACATTGTTGTAATTGATTTTGGTTTTGGGCTTGGGCCTAGGGTTTGGTAATCGGGTATAGTGTTGGACATGGTTATTGGAATGGATATGGGTGGAGGGTACCTGATCCGATCTAACCCTAACCTAAATAGATAGCAATATCTAATATCGTTCAAAACAGGAGGATTGCAATTTACGGCAAGGCCATTGCCGCCAACCGCATTAATACAATTTCCTGTATTTTGTAACGTTTTCTGCCAGCATAATGGTTTACTTAAATTACTTTACTGAGTTTGCTTGAACTGCTTTAAATTACTTAGTCTATACAGCCCTATCTGGTTTGCTTAGTCTGCTTAACGTGAGGGAATGAGGGAATGAGGGGGTTGGGGGGGGGGGGGGGGGGGGGCTTGCTAGTGGTAGGGCTGGCCAGGGTGCATAAGGAAAATCTAGGAGCAGGCCGGGATGATCATAGGTGTCCAAAAAGTATACTAGTCCCATTCCTACCCACCACCTATTATTATTATTATTTTTTTTAACTCCTAGCTAGAGTACGAATAGTCCCACATGACTGTCTGTGCTTCCCCACATTCCGTTCCATTAGGTTCCGACGCAGCCACGCTCTTATGGACACCGCCCACCATTCAATGAATCTTCTTTCGCTTCACCTCCTATATACAGATTATTTCATTATGAGTATTCATGGCCAAGGGCGACAGTTGAATTCTTGCCTAAAGCACTATCAAATCAAACATGCCCACCACAAATGATCATGGCTCACCTTTATCTTGGGTTCAAGAGAGACGGAGATACCAAAATGCTATGGCACAGCGGAGACGTCGTCAGCAATCCCCATTAATTCCTCGCTTTCTTTGGCATGTTCTGATGATATGAGCATGAGAAGGTGCTAAGCAAAAAGCGCTCATGTCCTTTGCCCGTACCCATACCTTCAGAAAGCTACTGTTCCTCTTTTTTCTTTTCTTTTTTTTTTTTTTCTGACTTGAAAGGGTACCAGTTGATTCCAGTGTACGGGAAATACGGCACGGATTGCTCTATTTTAATGCATAGTTGCACTGGTAGCTCGGCGGGCGCTTTTCTTCGCATCTTCAGATATCATAGACATAGCAATATTATATTACATGAATATGCCCTTTATAATAACCCATTTTCCACAAAATATTCACCCAGAAATATCAGTCCCTCTTGCGTACATACTTCGTATGCAACCCCGTCGCGACCACCACACGGTCACCATTCTCCTTCACCTTCTCAATCTCCACTGAAACGTACGCCAACGTCCCTCCGACTTTCATCGCCCGTCCTGTAATTTCCAGAACCTCCTCCTCCTTCGCCGACGAGAGATACGAAACATGCAGATCAGTGCTCACGCCAGTATAACTAGAGCCCTGCGATGCAATGGCCATTCCCGCCGCCCAGTCAACGATACATGCGGTCAGAGTGCCATGTAGACCCCCTTTGGAGTTTGTGTGGTTCTTTGCTACTCGCAAACTGGCATGGATGGTCCCCGGCGAGGCGTCGGTAATTGTGATATTGTCTAGCAAGAGGGCGTAGATGGGGCTGTTGGCACGTTGCGCATCCCAGACGTCGCGGACATGGGAGAGCGTGGCATTCATTTTGATATTCTAATTTTATGAGGATTGAGGAATATTTTGAATGAACTTCCCCTGGCCAGGTAATATTTTTACTCTTTATTGGGGCTGTATCGGAGCGGGGTCTATCCGAACCGATCGGATGGGGCCCGTCTATCGGCTTTATCCGATGGAATTACCGCAGATACCGATAATTTACCTTAGGAACGGAAATGCCTGATCTAAATCTGTAGACGGAGCTGCCGCTCTTAGCGGGCGGGACTCAACCGGTATACCTCGTTCCATGATGTAACTCTCTATATTACCGATTCGCAGAGTAAAAGAACGAACCTGCGGGGCCCATTTAGCTTAACGAGTACATTACAGTTTAAATAAACAAAAGTACCCAATCTAAACTCTCTGGTTTGATAATTCTATACTAACAAAGGAAATTGGCACATATCTTCATCTTCCGGGTCCACCTCAAAATCAAACCGCACTAGATCCTCTTTGTACGGAAACATGTATGTTGAAGTCACCCTATAATGAGACAATTAGCATACCAATGAAAAATATTTACTGAGGGACGAAAGCATACCAATGATGCTCCTGACTGGCCTGGTATTCCGCTAACGCGGCTTGATTCTCGTGGTAGCTCACAAGAGCGATCTGGAATCCTTTGCTGCGATCGATAGGGTCGGTGACACTGGGACCCCCGACGATAAGTCTTCCTGCTTTAACGCAGGAGAGTTTTTTCAACTTCTTCAGTTCCGTAACAAAGGTCTTCTTGTGCTCCTCGCTGACATCGGAGCGGAACTTGAACAGGACTAGATAAGTGTATTAGTGAGACTGAGTCTGTCTTGCAAGGCTAGATGGAGTCCCAACTAACCGATGTGGATGAGAGTCATTGTGGTAAACACGATTGTTTATAATATGGTGAGATAAATAGTAAACTCAACTAAGTTTGTGTTAATGCATAGAATATGCAGGTTTAAATATGCCTGAATTCGGCGTAGGAGTGCTGTTTTGTCTTGGACCGCGGATCGAAGCCGTCCGCTGGCGGATGCACTCCGCTCTCCCTGATAGTGGCATATACAAGACACCCTGATGCTAATGATTAGATTCCAGAGCACCAAAGTCATTGTTATCGTTATCATATAATTCTCACCAGGCTAATGGCCAATGTACAAAATAGCCTGCCTGCCATTGTGCAGGCCGTCGAATGGACAACCCTACCACACGAATTCCGTCGCCCGGGCTTCTCAGAACATTCAATCAATCAGAAACGAGGGAAACCACTCGACTCATTCTTAGAGGGGCCCATATACGTCTCCTCGCTGGATCTTCTTTTTGTCACAGATATCCCATGCGGCCGTATCTTTTCCATTGACTCCAATGCAAACTGGACCCTCGTTACGGAGTATGATGGCGAGCCAAACGGTCTGGTATGGAACCACATCACCAAAAAAATCGGCATCGCCGATTTCAAACAAGGCATACTCGAGGATGACCCCATCAGCAAGGAACTCAAGACCATCGTAGCGCGATTCCAGGGTGAACGCCTGAACGGACCCAATGACCTCGTTATCTCTGCCGACGGCGTGATCTACTTTACTGATCAAGGGATGACCGGTCTTCAGGATCCAACTAGTAGAGTCTTCCGTCTTTATCCTGATGGACGTTTGCAACTACTTATTTCAAATGGGCCATCGCCGAATAGGCTAGTTTTGAGTCGAGATGAGAAGGCCCTATTCGTGGCGATGACTCGGGATAATGCCGTGTGGTATGTCCCTCTTTTATCTGATGGTTCTGTACAGCGCATTAGTCGGTTTGCTAGCTAGTATGGTATTGGTGGCCCAGATGGCATGGCACAAGACGCCGATGGAAATATTTTGGTGGCGCATTCAACTCTGGGACTGTGTTCGTACATGCCGCGAATGGAGAGCTAGTCATGAAAATTAAGAGCCCTAGAGGGGCTCATACAACGAATCTTACATGGGGCGGCCCGTCAATGAACGTACTCTATATAGTTGAAAGTGAGACAGCTGCGATATTGAGGGTTGACTGGCACTGTCAAGGATGGTTGATGAAACTGGATAAGGAGGAAAACTTTTGGACAAAATAATGTTGACTTTGGGGAAAACTTAGAATATTATATCCACTAAGCCGCCTATATCCTTTCTATGGTTGCAAGTTAAACGACTAGGACTAGGACCGGATGATCGGCGTTTTTGGCGCCTCCTAGGCATACAATTCCTTGCGCGGCAGTGACTAGATTAAACTTTGGGAACCTCCTGTAGAAAGAGAACGCATTTTCCATGAAATAAATCGTCTACCATAATCGCAGCTTCTTTTTCCCATTTACATTGGCTTTCCCTTTCTTTCAGTACCTTCAAGTTAAGGCGGTTCTTTGCCACTCACTATTAAGAATTCCTGACTCTAGGGTTACGGGTCTGGAACCCTGCCCAGGGGCTATTTAGTAAGCATACTCTTACCTCGGGTCTTTCATATGAGAAGTTGCAACTCCACCTACGAGCACAACTGGACTGCCTAGACCAATCTATTATCTTTCACATTCAAATTCTCACTGAGCCACTAAGAAATTCCTACGCCTTGGCAACTGTGGCCGCGCATCTCCGCTTCCCGAATCCCTTCCCGCGAACGCCCATGGCAAGCCATCTTGGCCAGCCATCCATTGGTCCGGAGAATCCTCCGTCCCAATTGGAATGTCCCACACAACCTACTTCAGAGCATAGTGACCATGACACAGCCTATCCGCCCTACTATAAGCGAAACGCCTGTACAGCCTGTCGGCGGATGAAATCCAAATGTGATATGGCAAAGCCTAGCTGTGGAGCTTGCACCAGGTTTAACCGGACATGCGCCTACGAGACAACGCGAAAGAAAAGCGGTCCAAAGCGAGGATATACAGCGGTCTTTGGTTCTCGATTAGGTAGGTCTCAGAACCAGGAAACCATGCAATTAGCCTATTCATACTGATATTGCTCGCTCATCGAAAAGCTCAGGTGGAGGCGCTTCTTAGTGCTCATATGCCTAGTATCCCAGGAATTCAAAACCCTTCCGCCACCCTTCCAGCTGATTGGGTAGATAGGGCTACTCACCCTAATTTGGGCGATGTTACTTCTCATCCAGACATGGCTGCAGAAAGTGATCCCTCGTCATCACGCTCCACCGAGAGCGCATATACAGGACCCAGCGTAGGGTTGGGTATGATTAGTTTGGAATTAGAGGAACCTCTCCCAGATCAAGAGGTTATCGATGAACTGCATGTCCCCCAAGTCCTCGTATCTCCAAATGGAATTCTGCTAATATCTACAGGTACCGGATCTATTTCGAAGATGTTCACATTTACATGCCGATTATACATCATCATAGGCACCTGGCTGCGTTGGACCATGCTTCTCATGCCCGGCCGCCAATCTGTCTCCAATATATGATTTGGTGCCATGCAGCCCTTGTCAGCGAAAATTATAATACTTTACACACAGCTTTCTACGAAAGAGCCCGCAAGTACGCGGAGGCAGATGAGATGAAGGGCTATGGAGGAGGGATTCTCTCCTTGGCACACGCTCAGACATGGCTCCTTATCACCGTGTATGAGTACAAGATGATGTTCTTTCCGAGGGCGTGGTTAAGCTGTGGAAAGGCATGTCGGCTCGCAATTATGCTAGGGCTTCATCAACTCGATAGTCCGAATCCTCAGGTGAAACAATGTTTCACACCTTCCATAGATTTGGTGGAAAAGGAAGAGCGGCGGAGGGTCTTCTGGATGACCTTCTGTATTGATAAGTTTGCCACCATCGGAACAGGGTGGCCTGTCGGGCTCAGCGAGACAGAAGTAAGCTCTCCGTATGTCACATCCAGGAGCGAGTGGTGTACTAAGATGAGCAGGTCATGACAAATCTCGCCGCTAGCGAGGAAGCCTTTAGTACAGGCCAGCCAGAGCCAACGGCACGCCTTAGTGATGTTTTAAATGGTGAGGGACTCGTAACACTGTCTCCTTCCGCAGGTATCGCCTTCGTGTCGTGCATCTTCGGTCGGATTACAGACCATCTTCGTCTCCCCCAATCGCAGGACGACGATAGTTACAGTACTGGAGGCTTCTGGCAGCGACACAGATCTTGCGATGAGATTCTGCTCAATTTTGCTCTGGCAATGCCAAATCATCTGCGTCTCCCAAACGGGATGGGCGATCCTAATATCATCTTTTGTAACATTTCTCTTCACACGGCTATTATCTGCCTTCACCAAGCGGCGATATTCAGAGCGGAGTGGAACAACATACCAGAGTATCCCATTGTTGAAAGCAAGCTGAGGTGTACTGCTGCTGCCCAACAAGTTCTGGAGATTATAAAAATGGTTGGCCCTGTCAACATGAGCAAAGTAAGCTTTTTGAAACTGGGTCGAATCACTTCGCAAATAACTGACAGATGTTAGGTGAATCCCTTTGCCTCATTCTGTATTTATGTGGCAGCACGCGTATACGTTCAGCGTTTCAAGCTTGATCCTGAAGATACAGAAGCTCATTCTGCGTTCCAGTCTTTTCGTTCAGTTATTCATACTCTCAAAACTACAAATCCCCTAGCGGAATCCTTCCTCTTCCAGTTGGATGTTGACAGTGAAGGAGGATCATCCCAAGGCCTTCGGCTACCGACAAACAATTTTCCTGTTGAGATGCTTTCCCCTAGCAACCTATAACAGGACAAGGTTTATTGTGTTTTCTGAGTTTGGGTACTATACAGGGATTCCATTAGTCCACGAACACTTATACACTTAGTCTACATATTAAATTAATCCATGCTTGGGTACAGAATATTTATCCCGAATAGGGACAATATCAATAGCCCAGTTTAAATCTGTCAAAGCAATTAGAGTCATAGCTGAGTAATAGAAAAAGTTACTGTTGGAATTTCGGATTTATCTATACCCCGTCCCAGCCACATTAAATCCTTTTCTAGGGTCGCCACACTACAAGATGTCGTCATGCTTTCCCTACGATCTCATCAATCGACACAATCTATCTTGCTTTTAAGTTAGTCAACAATACACATGCCGAGAAGAAGATTCCTTCCTTGTGGCACAAAGAAACTAGCAGAAAATGAGGCTCAAGATACCATTCCTGGCCGAGAGCTTCTAGAGGCTTTGGCAAGGTATTTTATCCTTGACCGCCCTAAGTAGGATCTAAATAAAATATAGCTTGCGCTACAACCCTGTGTACAGTGATCTGACCATTCTATGTGGTCAGGAATCTTATCCTGTTCATAAATGTATAGTCTGTACACGGTCGGAGTTTTTTGCTAGAGCATGCAATGGAAAGTTCAAAGTAAGGCTTGAATAAAACTCGAGATTACATTCTTATCTAACATGCTAATCATAGGAGGCCTCTACGTCTGAGGTTAATCTAGATGAAGAACCGGCCTTGGTGAAGCAGATGGTTGAATATTTCTATACCCTGGAATATCAGGTTAATACTCAGTTCCAAGCACCTGATGGCCATAACTTTGATCAAGGGAACATCACCAGTCCCCCTAGGTGGGAAGGCACAGAGACTCCACTCACCCAAGCAGGAAACGTGGAACTTGCTGAATCAAATCAAGTCTGCGACGTGCCTGAAGAGCAAGCACGATTCTCAGATCCCCTTTCCTTTCATATCTTGATGTATTCCCTTGCGGATCGTCTCCTTATACATGGACTGAAAGCTCTCTCCAAAGAAAATGTTGGACATGAATTAATTCAACGATTGGATGCGCAATCGTTCCCACAGGCGATCGTCGAGATCTATAACTCCACGCCTGAAAATGACCGAGGTCTGCGAGATCTGGCGGTTGAAGTCACCATGGACCACTTGAGTGCACTAAGGAAAGCGAAGGGAACGGCGGCTGCAGCCCTTCAAGACAATCTTTTAAGATCGGTACCTCAATTTTCATACGACCTAGTCGTTGCCATGATGAACAAGTCCGTATCCATGGAATCTAGGTGGGACATGTAAGAAACTTCGGGCAAATGAGATGATATGATGATAGTATAAGAAATCGAAAGTAAGTGGTGATCCCCGGTCTAATATTACAGGATGCCTATGAAAAGATGATACTAATGTAATGATATGAATAGACAGAAAGTAGGCCTGGACCCTAGTACTGTTATAACGCGGGACTTGGCTCAAAAAAGTGTTCACAAGGATATGAAGCTAGTGTACTCATATAATATATCAAGCTAATACGTGCTACTAAGCAATTGAATCATTTCGCGTTCACATAATGGTTCATATTACTACGTACGCCGTAGAATAAAAGCTTTCATGGTCATGATATCTCGAATACACATATCGTTAACACATTCAGAATAGCATCAAATGAACCAGATATATTCTGCTCTGAACCCTCTCCTCTCCCGCAACCTAAAGATTCCATGCCGAAGGCCAGCATATTAATCAGTCGAAGACTAAAACAAGAAGATGTCTAGACTCTACTAAGTTAATAATCAATCATATCACTTTATTCAAAATCCCTCATCTCAACCAAACAGCCACTGGAAGGAATGCAGATCCCCCAATCTCCTTATCAACTCAGGCCACAGTCCCAGGGTTAGGGCTGTCGCAAGGCCCCACAAAATAGTGGGGAAGAGTAACAGTCGGTGCAACAATCTCTCCGATGCAGCCCTAAGAAATCATAAGTTCCTAACAAAATTTCATTGTCCCGACTAACCAAATCTAGTTTACGCTGCGGGCTTCATGGTTGAATAAGCTCCTAGGTAGACAGGGATTGGATTTAGTCGAAGTATTAGCGGGATTTCTCCTGATAGCTTCGTCCGGTCTTTACATGAAACGGGTTGTATAGATTTTTCCGTGGCACTTGTCATGGAAGCAGGGGAAAGACGGTCTTGTAGTGCTGATTTTCTTTAATTGGGTTTATTGAAGGATATTTCAGTGTTTGTCTTGTTTTTAGAAAAATGGATACTGTGAGGTAGAATCGCTCCTGAGAGTTTTTCTGTGTCTTCTTACGATTCCGTATTAAATTGGCCCTTACTCGGGATGAACTCTGTAGATAAGTATTTTAGATTTTGAACTCTGCGGAGCCATCTTTATCTAAGAGATTCTTTTGTTTCTAGGTAGCATTAGCCTCGAAATGCCATAGATAGGCAAGAAATTGGAATAATAAATTAGCTAGTTAATTACAATACAAGACTCAGATTCCCAAGGTTTGTTTGACAGGGCATTCAATGGGACTGAGACCCATTCTCCAGCTGGGATCGAATGGAGGAGATAGCATCACCAACACAGACAGCACAGTCATTGGACTTATCAGGAATCAGCATTGGTGGAGAACATCAGTCCAAGGCATAGGACATACCTGATTCGGCACTAAATCCTCAACGACACTGCTCACACACTGAAGGTCAGAGGCAATGTCTGAACCCCCACCAACGATAGCAGCATTACAGTTCTTGACAGCTGGGATGAGTTGCTGGAAGCAAGCTTTCAACGGGAGGCATTAGCTTTCGGTTGATCCAACAATAATAGTGCCGCAGGGAACGAACCGGGAATGTTGCAGTTGCCTGTGACTAGGAGGGATTCGAGTACTGGTCCAGCATCCTGCGCGATCTTGGAGGTATTGAAGGCTTGGAGAATATTGGATAGGTCGGGAGTCTCTGTTGGAGCGGCCATCGCGGCACTGGCACAAAGAGCCACAGTTACAGCAGAAACGCGCATGATACAATGGAAATGGGTAAGACAGGTGTTGCGATATATTGTGAAGGCCTTGGTTTAATCTAGGGAGGAGAGAGAAGCTCTGCGTGGCCGTTTTATATACTCTTGATCGGGGCAGTCCAGCAATGCGAGTGTTCACATTTCCATGACCAGCTCACGCTGATCATATCATTTTTTGGTTCCTGGATGTCGCACGTGGTGCTCCTATAGGTGGGGGATTTAGTGGAGGGCATTGTAACTATCAGTCGAATAGTAATTGTATGGGCAATGACAAGGCCCTCGTGGAACTCTCGAGAGTCCGCTTAAGCCTTGTCTGGCCCTATCTTCATGAACGATTTACAGGGGGGTGTGGGTCAACCGTGGGCCCTTTCTCCCTAGTACCTCCGGTCATTGCAACCTCATGTTTCACAACTGGAGTCTAGGAGGAACTAATGAGTGGAGCATCATAGATAGGAGACCTTTTGCTCCGGGTTGTCAAAACAAATATCATTGTATACTACGTCTAAGCCGGGTATTACAACGTAGGTGCTGCATGATAACAAGCCTGAGCTAGTGCATTGCACAGCGTATGTCAGATAAACTAGAAAGGCAGAACTACTGAGATCCGTACTTCACATCCAGAATGCCTAATCATTGCAATAGTGGGGGAGTTTCGGTGATTGCACGAGCCTTTAAGCGAATTCTCTTTGCTCAGCTCTGGCAACTTCTCCTTCAGCATCCTTCTCCTCACTCATAGCACCCACGTTGGGCTGAGCATCACCCTGTGGCAACCGTCTAGCCATTGGAACAATATCCCAGAGAGTAGGGGCTTATTTGGATAATTTGTCAATCAGTTCCAGGTTGCGATTCATGGTCTCTGGGAAGAACGGAAGCACAATCAGAGGAACACACGCAGATGTGGCGGCAAAGACAATATAATATTTCCAGCCGATACTGGACAACGCAACCGGTGTCACCATGGTGATGATAAAGTTCCACAGCCAATGGTTCGCAGTCGATACGGAGGACATGGCCGCTCGCAGGTGGGCAGGGGCAATCTCAGCGCAGTACAGAAAGTTCCCTCCCAAGAAGCCGATTGGGTAGCAAAAATTGAATATGAAGATAAAGACAGCTGCAACAATTGAGGCGGCATGGTTTGACGCAGGAAAGCTCGTGGCAGCGGCCATGGCGACCATACACATCGACATGCTAGTCCCACTTATAACGAAGATTCACCGTCTTTCTAGACGGTCGACTGCGAAAAATGATACAAAAGCGCAAAGGAACTTCCAGATAAGGGAGCTTGCGGCCACGATTGCTGGGATATCACCTTGAAGGTGCAAATTCTTTTGGAAAATACTCGTCGTGTAGATCTAGATCAAGTTCCCGCCCACGAGTTGTTGGAGTGTTTGTATTACGAGGCATAATGCAAACCGGTATAGGAGCCGGTTTTGGTCGTTCCTGTCGAATATATCCTTGACGGAAACTTTTGGGCCTGTGTCTAATGAATTTCTGATTTGGCATATCCCGTATTGGACATGTTCGTCATCGCTGGGCATGCCATTGAGCTGCGCGAGTGCTTCTGTTGCTTCCGCGATGCGGTGCTTCTGGACCAGCCAGCGAGGGGATTGAGGAAGTATAAAAATGGAGATGCAGATAATAAAGGAGAAGATAACCGGGACTGCCAGCACAATGCGCCACTGCAGCGGTGGTAAGGACGCCTTGCTGAAGCCTAAGTTGATCCAGCTAGACAGTACGAATCCCACGCAAATTAAGATGCCGGCGGTAATGACCTTACGACCACGGTTACCAACAGAAGAGCTTTCTGCTTGCCACACTGGCACAATAACGCTCAATTGGCCGACTCCAACACCCAGTATAATACGACCCACGGTAAACTGACCAAGTGAGAATGCCGTGCATTGGAGAATCTGGCCAGCTGCGGCGCAGATTCCAGCGACGAAGATGGTCTTTTGACGGCCGAGAGCATCACTAATACGGAGCAGGACAATGCACCAACAACGGCTCCCAATTGCAAGCAGCCATTGATGAGACCCTTGATAGTTGAATTCTTTGCCTCCTTGGCTCCATGTGTGTTGACGGTGTCAATCAGGGGGAAGTAACGGATCACATCGGGGAGATCGAGGAGCGCCGAAAGTCCGGCTTGATTGTAACAGTACTGGAGAAAATCCGGGGCAATAACAAGAAATATCTGTGCGTACTGGATTGTCATCGGTGTCCTCCAGAACATAGTGTACGAAGTCAGTAGAGAAAACGATTTGATAATTGGGAAGGATATCAAGTGGTGAGAAGATGGAGGGATGTAGCCCCACACACGGCGTGGGCTTCTTATGTAAATACAGGGGAGGCTCGAGGTGCATAATGGATTCGTAAGATTATCCATGGCCTGTTTCCCAGGGAGTAGGTTGACCTAATTGTGGGTGACGAAAGGCAAATCAAAGACTTGCGGATGACATCCGCACCCCATAGTGTTCGTTTCGCACCTGCACCCATAGCATAAGCATTGATTAGCCGCAGTTTGACTCTAATGTAGGTCACTAACTTCTTTTGTCCTTTCTCCATATATTTGCGTGCGATAATGAGGGAGAGCACATAATATACTCGGGCGGTCTGCGCACGAGGAGAAATTTAACTGTACATCCCTCTGCGCCACCATTATGTTAAGAACCAGGGGAGTCTAATCTAGACATGATCAATCGGGTGCTGCGTCGGCTCGCTTCCGCAGGCCAACGGAGCAACTCTGCCCAAATCGGCGACAGTTAGCAGGCTGTGTGCGCGGTTCCATGATGAATTCTAGTTGTCAACATAGGTGGAGGAAGAAGAAAAAGAGCTGTATGGTTTTGTGCGTTTTTGTCGAACAGTCAACGAGGAGGTCTTAAGGATAAAAATCCTCTAGGTTGATGATGGCCCGACGTTATGCATCCTTTGTTTACGTGGACGTCACCTGGTCAACTCACATCCTGGATTGATTGAACCAAGAGCGACACCATTGGGATAAGTAGTATAGCGCCTTGTGAAGGATGACCCAGGCTATTCGAATAGTTTTGCTTGGTATCCGGGGGACTGCAGGGGTACTCTTCTGATATTGTACATCACACTGGTAGCAGCCGAGTAAAGCCCGGTCGTAAAATGGATAGAATAAAATGACTAGCCACTTTTTAGGTCGGTTTAATTTTATTTAAAACAAGATGATAGCATATAGCTAGAATAGTTATGAGAACCGTTTACGTGCAAATCCCCGTAGGGGGGCACGTAGCATTCGCAGAAAGGAAAAACGAAAACAGCCAGGAACGAATGATGCCGAATATAGAATATTCTTTTGATAGCAAATAGAGTTAGACTTTATTTGACCTATACAAATAAATTATTAGAGATGTGGTACGTCTTGATATATATCTTTGATTCGTCAAGCAGGTCGGTGTTAACGAATAGAGAACCCTACTACTTATATATCTCAGTTCTCCGGATCCTCAGCAGAATATTGAAGCCGAGCATTCACAACAATTCACATCACTTGCAACGTTACATAAGTCAATTAGTATGGGAAAATAATTGCGTTTGAAATAATAAGGATCCATAATTGAAGCGCATCCCCTCAAATATCTCGTTATCTAACAGCTCTATACTCATTGCTACGAAAACATTGCGCGCTATGGAAGAGATTTGCTAATTTTACTTTATAAGTTTAATATGGAATACAGCTTTCACAACCAGCGGTTGTGTAGTGTAATGGTTAGCACCCAGGATTCTGATTCCTGTAATCCCGGTTCGATCCCGGGCACGACCTGATCCAGTATCTTCTTTTTTGCATACTTGTCGTCACGTCCTCTTAAAGGGCCGCTTTTCCAATATTTAGCTTTTTAAATTTTATTTTATAAATTTTTTACTCTCCGACCCGAGATTCGGAAAGGGCCGCTCCGGATTATCTCCGTCAGCACATACATCTGGCCCGCTGGACGTCGGCCAGCCGGCAAACCACATGTATCCCGCGTTCGCCACGAGCCCTAAGCCGAGAACCAAAACAGCATTCATGCCCAACCCGCGGGCAAGTCAAGTGTAATAATTTAGAGGTGTGGATCCCCTGTCGATCAAACTCAATCTTCTCACAAGGATGTACTCAGGGTCCATGCGTCTATGACCATTGTGCTCGGCGAAGCTTGGCCGATGGCTACCAGATGGGCAACCTACGTTTAGACTGCAGCTTGATGTGCTGGTCTTCTTCTCAGCACAGGTAAAATTGGACAGGTTAGACGGCATACGTGATACATCTTAGGTTGTATACATGTTACGGTTCTATTGCTTGTCTTGAGCTTCACGAGCGACACCGAAGATTGAACTTTTTACAGTGGTATGACCACCCTATCTAGTAATTTGCTGCTCAACAGCAACAAATAAACTTCACCTTAAAGCACGTCAGACAAGATTTGCATGAAAGCACTTTGCTGCTGCTTTGACGTTGCGAAACGGTGCCAAGAGAGGTGGCCGATGTACCCCGACTTGGCCATCGGCATTCGGCGAAGTTGGACGTACTATGATTCATACGGTAGATTCGTACTCAGCATATGACAGGGAAAATTTTCACGATGAAGAATCGGATAGAATGAAAAAGCTGAGGGGACAGTTGTTGAACAATTGTATGATTGGTCCAAGCTTTGTATACTCTTGTGGAACCTAATGGCGGCATATGCGGCCGTTTGATAATGAGAATCGGAACCATGGTCTGAAATTGCTTTGGCCGCAAGAAAAGAGAGTATAGAAGAGACTAGATCTACATGAAGTTGACATGGGTCTCGTTGGAGGGCATCATATAAAGCTAGGCAGAGTACAAAGGAGTAGCAGTGTCTTCTTGTTGTATAGACTCGTCCTTACTTTTATATCTACACATAGACTTTATACTGAATACTGAATGGACCAACTTGAGCTTGTACCCTCTCATCCCGCCTGGTCCTACCCAGAAGGTGGGCTTGAGGCCAACCTCGTCGTTCTCGGCAGCTTTAGCTCCATCATGGGTGGCCTGGGTTTGATGAATAGTATCGGCATCTACCAGGCATGGATCTCAACGCACCAACTATCCCACCTTGGTGAAAGCCAAATAAGCTGGATCTTTGGCATATACAACTTCCTCGTCTTCTTTTGTGGCATCCAGATTGGCCCGGTCTTTGACGCCAAAGGGCCCCGTCTCCTTATGCTCACGGGCTCGATCCTCCTCATTCTCACCCTTGTCCTGGTAGGATTCTGTCAAGAGTACTGGCACTTCCTAGTGGTAATAGGTATCATCGGTGGAGTCGGAACGTCATTCATCTTTATTGTTCCTGTTGCGACTATTGGCCACTTCTTCAGTGTTCGCCGAGGTGGTGCAACTGGCTTGGCCATGTCTGGCGGGAGCATCGGCGGCGTGATCTTTCCATTGGTCTTGGAGTACCTAGGGCCGCGTATCGGATTCGCCTGGGCAACAAGGGTGATCGCGCTCATTACCCTTATTCTCCTAATCCCGGGATGTCTCTTACTAAAAGCTCGTCTTCCGCCGAAGTCGTCCACCGCCACCTCCCTGCTGCCCGATCTTAGAATCCTAAAGGACCCAGCCCTAGCCCTCACCACCTTGGGTGCCTTCTTCATCGAATGGGGATTCTTCATCCCTCTCGAATATATCACCTCATACTCCCTGACCTACGGGATCTCCAGCCGCTTAGCTTATCTAATGGTAGTGTTCCTCAACGCCGGCTCATTCCCTGGTCGCTGGCTACCGGGCATCCTGGCCGACCGGATTGGCCGGTTCGAGATGTTGACCTTGACAAATATCTTCTGTCTCATCGCAGTGCTAGGAATCTGGATGCCGGCGAATGGAAACGTCGTTGCGACGGTTATATTTTCCGTGGCGTTTGGAATTGGGTCGGGAAGTAATATTAGCCTCGTTCCAGTTTGCGTCGGCGAACTATGTCCCACCGAACAATACGGACGGTTTTATACCACTGTCTATACGATTGTAAGCTTAGGGTATGTTCATATCTTCTCCTTCTCCTTCTCCGGGTTTATGAATACACAGCTGACTGGCTTAGGGCATTGACTGGAGTTCCTATCGCAGGTGAAATCATTCATCGTTGTCATGGGGAGTACTGGGGATTGATCGCGTTCGCTGGGTGTGCTTACGCTGCTGGCTTGATATGTTTTGTCGGCGTGTTAGTGTTGAAGCGGAAGAGGGTAAAAAGTACTGTTTAATTAGTGAAATATCTGGTGTAGATAATTGATTGGCTTTACTTTTTAGAATACATCCTGAAAATGTTGAAGTAGAGAGGCATTGAAATGTAACAAGTATTAAGAGTGCTATCATTTGCCCTAAATAGCACTAACGTCAAGCCGGCATTCTTCCTCGAGATCGCTCGGAAGATGAACAATTAGCGCCGTAGTGCTAGCATTTAGTATCCCCTCTTTTTATGGTAGCAGAGAAGCAACATACATTGAACTGAAAAAGACAGTCCAACCTTGTTATTTTGAAAGCAAATTAACTTCCTCAGGATAAATGATTGGCTACTATATCTGAAATGTGTATTCTACACCTCCGTATTATAGAACACTAGTAACTGCGCGGTAGTTGGAGCACCTTCTCGCTCACATAGTTCAATATCATCTCCCGGCTTACTGGTGCAATCCGCGGCACTAGACACTCTCGCAGATATCTCTCCACATCATACTCCATCGCATAGCCCATTCCTCCATGACTGAGAACTGCCCGTTCGCACGCTTTGAATGCTGCTTCCGCAGCAAGATATTTGGCGCTATTGCACGCCACGCCCACAGAGTGGAACGGGATGGAATCATCCGTTTTGGAGGCATCGTACAAGCGCGCCGCATGGTATGTCGCCAGCTTAGCCGCTTCTAATTGCATATATGCGTCCGCTAGTGGATGCGCAATGCCCTGGTTTTGTCCGATCGGCCTCCCAAAAACTACCCGATCGCTTGCGTACTGTGCAGCGCGTTCCAAAGCAGCGTATCCGAGACCCAACGCTTCACCGGCCAGGAGACATCGCTCTGCATTCATGCCGTGGAGGATGATCTTGAATCCCTCGTTCTCTTGACCGATCAAGGTGCTTTCCGGGATTTCGTAGTTGTCGAAAAACACCTCATTGGCGTCGACCGCACGGCCTCCCATCTTCTTGATTTTGCGCATATCCAGTCCGGACTTACTCCGGTCTATGTCGATACAGAATAACGAGAGACCTTGACTTGACTTTTTTACTTCCTCCAGAGGCGTTGTTCGCGCCAGGAGGATCATTTTTGAGGCAACCTGTGCGCAAGTAATCCAGATTTTCTGGCCTGAGATTGAGTAGGTTTTCTTCTCTGGGTTCTTAGTGGCCAGGGTCTTCAGCTTTAACGTCTCCAGACCGGTGTTCGGTTCTGTGACGCCAAAGCATGTCCGCCAGGTGCCATTAATGATTTTTGGGATAGTCTCTTCGAGTTGTTGCTTGGTACCGAACTTCGCCAGAGGTTGCGTGGCATACACATTTGCATGAATGGATTGAGCCCCGGCCATTCCAGCGCCGGATTGCGTGATGGTCTGCATCATCATTGTTGCTTCAGAGATACCTACTCATTTGTTAGTATCATAGAACTATATTGGATTCCTTCATTGAATGAACCTACCGAGCCCAGCTCCCCCGAGCTCTTCGGGTAGCGCAATCCCTAGCCATCCGTCCTTGGCCAACGCGGCATGGAACTCCTTTGGATCGCGTTCATTTTGGTCACATTCTTGCCAATATGTGTTGGGAAACTTGGAACAAATGGCTGAAATCGCTTCCCGAATGGTTAACTGCTCTTCAGTGAATCCCGTCAATTCCATCAACGGGCGCCGAGCAGAGGTGGAGAACCTCGACCGCGGTGTTGTCCATGATACTATCGGGCTGCGTGGCAGCACTCTCTCAATAGCTGGACTGAGTCTAGAGCATAGAGTTTTCCGAGTGCAAAGTCGAGACATAACGAATGGATTTACAGGCGAAGTTATCACTCGAGATGTGATTGGGGATTATAAATAAACGGTATTCGTGGCGCGAACCACGTACCCGGCATAAACCCGCTCATCGGCATGTCATATAACCGCCGAATAACCGCTTGACCCCACCGGTCGATCAGGCCGAGGTAGGTATCTATTAAACTCGTGTATCCTGCGAAAGACTGCATTTAAGACCTGAATCTTGTCTGTAGACACGTTTCTGTCCAGATAACTGTCATTAATATATCACAGAATGGCTCCCTTGCGACCGCTATCTCAGGCGTTGTATCCTCGGATATCAGGCGCTCGCAGCGTTTCAACCAAGACCTCACCGAAGGGACCCCTTTCTGGCATCACAGTGGTTAGCCTTGAACAGGCCATTGCCGCTCCATTCTGTACGCGGCAACTAGCAGATCTTGGGGCTCGTGTCATTAAAATTGAGCGACCTGGTGTGGGGGACTTTGCACGTAATTACGACACTCGCGTCAACGGTCTTGCATCGCATTTCGTCTGGACAAATCGGTCGAAGGAAAGTCTCGCATTAGACCTCAAGAAGTCACGCGATCATGGAGTCCTAATGCGCCTGCTGGGTAAAGCCGATGTCCTAGTTCAGAACTTGGCTCCCGGAGCGAGCGCACGGCTAGGACTATCCCATGAGGAGCTTGCGAAGAAGCATCCCTCACTGATTGTGTGCAATATCTCCGGGTACGGACCAGATGGCCCGTATCGTGATAAGAAGGCCTACGACTTGCTTATACAAAGCGAGGCAGGCATGCTCTCTGTTACAGGGACCGCTCAAGAGCCTGCTAAAGTAGGCATTTCTATCGCGGATATTTCTGCCGGAAGTTACGCGTATTCTAATATTCTGGCGGCTATCATCCAAAGGGGGAATGACCCCGAGAAGCGTGGGTGTAACATCGATATTTCTATGTTAGAGAGTATGGTCGAATGGATGGGCTTTCCGCTATACTATACCTACCAGAACGCACCTAGACCGACACCAACGGGAGCCTCGCACGCTGCGGTCTACCCGTATGGACCATTTGAAACAGGAGATGGAAAATCCGTCATGCTGGGGATCCAGAATGAACGTGAATGGGTCAATTTCTGTGAGAAGGTTCTGTCTCTGCCAGACTTGGCGACAGATGAACGGTTTGTCAATAACTCCCTTCGATCGCAGAACCGTGATGCGCTTAAGGGCATCATTTGCGAGGTGTTCTCATCTTTGACAGCGGAGAAAGTGGTTACTCTTTTGGATGAGGCCGCAATCGCCAATGGTAATGTCAACGATATGCAGGGGGTTTGGGAACATCCACAGCTCAAAGCGCGTGATCGGTGGACTGAGGTTTCCACTCCGGCTGGCATAGTCCCGGCTTTGCTGCCACCAGGACTAACTCAAGGGGATCCTGGTAAATTCTCGGCCAGAATGGACGCAGTTCCGGATGTCGGAGAACATAATGCGGCGATCCTGGCCGAGTTGGGAATTGATGATGCGGGGAAGGATTCATAATGCACTAGACTAGCAATAAATGCCGGTCGGCGTGTAGAATTTACGCCGACCGCCAAATGCCAAGACACATATAGCCGACTTGTTCTCATTTACTTCTCTCGTTGTTTCTTCTCCTCTATACCCCTCGCATACCAGCCCTGTATTCTTTAACTCACAACTATAAATCGTACTATAATATTATAATGACGCCTGAAGCCGACTCGGGTCGGTATCCGACCAGGAAGCGCGCCCGACAGGCGTGTCTTCACTGCAATCGGCGCCGTATCCGCTGTAATGTCCTCGAGACGCGACCTTGTCATAACTGCGTCTCTATGAATGTTCCCTGTGAAGTGGGGGTCTCTAAGCGAGGAAAGTAAGCTTGATCCACATACAATAGACCCATGTTTGTACCGAGGAAGTAGACATGCCAATATGTTGCTACAGGTATCCTCGCAAGAAGGCTTTACGGCAGTCGGGGACTCCACATGAGGGAGATTCCATAATCTCAGACTCGACTGTTTCCGCAGATCATAGCATTTTCCAGCCAGGTGAAAGTTCACTTGTGCATATCGACGCGTCGGATTCTCCTGATCAGCGTCATCATCTGGGACAACGCGGTAGCAGTGCGACGCATAGCCGGAACAGCTTTGGGACTTCTTGGATATCCGCTGGAGATACGACAAGCGTTTCTCATCAGACTGTGTTCCTTGGAGAATCAAGTCCCCTGACGTGTGTAATTGATGAGGGACGGCGGTCACCTGAGAAGGGTCCGGCGAACGCTATGCAAAATACTCGCCTTCACTACCCCATCCCAGAAAGGCTGGACGCTAATAGTACACGCGATGAAGCTCTTCGCGCACACAGGCGAAAGGTGGAAGAGCAGCTGAATGCTGATGGCGCATTCTCCTATCCACCAAAAGACACTTGTGCGATACTACTGAGGGCCTACTTCACATGGTTTCACCCATGCTTTCCCATACTGGACCGCTTAGCGGTCAAACAATCATACGCCCGAGGAGATATTTCTCACCTTCTGCTGCAGTCGATGCTCTTCATTGGGGTTAGTCTTTGCACTGACGAAGACTTTGCGCGCACCGAGTTCTCTGTTCGATATCGAGCCAAGTTCCTCTTCTATAGTCGAGCTAAGGCTATATATGATGCCGACTGGGAGTCGAACAAGACTACCAAGTTGCAGTCACTGTTCTTGCTGAGCTCTTGGCGCGGAGGGCCGTCTGAAGAACGTGATACGAGGTTCTGGCTAGGAGTCGCTATTAGCTTGGCTCAAAAGCGTGGCATGCATATGATGTTGGTGTTAAACAATCAAAACTGTGGTGTTGCTGACTGTCCTAGGTCCAAATTACCCTTTCCGTCCCCGCGGGAAGAAAAATTATGGAAACGAATATGGTGGGCCCTTTATGTGGGTATTTGCAGTACCTCATTGTAAAACTACTCTAACGTAAAAGAAGATACGCGACCAGCAAAGTGCTGCAGCCTTGGGTCTTCCGCCTCGGATACGAGACGAAGACTGCGATGTTGCAATGCTTGAGCCGAGCGATATCCGTGAAGAGGAAGCAGTGGAAGATGCACAAGTGTTTGGAGCACAAAGAGAAGAAGATATAGTTTATCCGGCGGAAATGGCCAAGTTAGCGAGGATATGTATGCTCCCTTTACTGCCTTGGTGGCGCCCATGCTAAGAAGACAGTGCGCACTATTGTATCAACACAATATCTTCCTGTGCAGTCCGGTACCGATGAATCGTCACGGACAAAGTTACAGCAGACATTATGCGAATGGGAGTCATGCTTACCTGCAACCCTGAAATTAGAAACTACAGCGTCCCCGAGAGCCATGTTTTTGACTGGATTGTTGCACATGACGTACAAGTATGTCGTTTGCTTTGTACTCTGTCCTATGAAGGCGTTCTGACTTTTCAGTAACTTGTGCATCCTCCTACACCGACCATCGTTCCTTAATTCTTCCAATCCTCCCGTGGACAAAGCAGGCCAGGTTGCACTGGATGCTGCCACTAGGAGTACCAGGATTATCGAGGACATGTTGTCACACAACCTTGTCCAACACGGGCCTACTCATCTGTATGTTCCATTTGCTCTTACGTGATATTTCCCAGCGATGTGCTAATGTAATAGGATCACCCATACATTCTCGACGCTGTGTATCCATACTATCCACTGTCGCCGAACATCTGGAACGGCTAGGAAGTTGGCAGAACACCGCGCAAAGCTCTGCCTTCTCGGGCTCCAGGAGTTACAGAAAACATGGGATATAGAAAATTGGGTACTGAATCTCTTCTTCCGATGTCTGGATGATAGCACCGCGCGTACTCTCCGGTTGACAGACATTGTCGCACCATCAGGTCAACCAGTAACCCATACTGAGAATACAGATAGAAGTGCCGATGCCGATAAAACTCAGGATCTGCCCACACCGACTGAGGCCATGGATTCCATTCAGGGAGAAGACCCTACACTAGCGCCTGCCTTACAACCTTCCCCGAGAATGGAAAATGGGGATATTGCAGCGCCCGGTGATTGGTACGGATTGTTTAACTTTACGGATGATTTTGCAGATGTTCTAGGGGCGTCTTCATACCATGATTCGCTAAATCTGCAAAATCTGGAATTCTTATATCGATTCTTGTGACATTGGCATGGTGATTCATTCAAGGAAGAATTTGTCAACTTCGTTAACGAACCATTGGGCGGCTACTGTATTGACAGCCTGGTGACCATAAGGGCTCTAGCAAGGCTCGTATGAGGTATACCACGCCCCCTACATGCCTCTTTCCTCTTTCGCTTCGTCCCATGCTTGATGCGTCAGTATAAGTCCCAGCGATCTATCAAAGTTGGTTTGGGGTTTGAGAAAATGAGGGACATATGGAATGCTCAGGTTATCACCCAACAGAAGTCCCGTCTGTAGGCTATACTCCATGGCCAAACATTCATCCTGATGGTCACGCAGGAAGGCTGTGGGGTCCACGCCTGGCCCGTTTATGGGACATTCCCTTCAGCCCGAAATACCTACATATGATAGGCTATCTCACGGACTATCTCTTCTACCGAGCGTTGTCCGCTCTAATGATGCTCTATCCCGCGCTCCTTTCTGGATGCAAACTAGTATGAATACCTAACTGGGCAATGATATCTTAACTGCCGTCATTGCTTTGAATTGTCCAACTTTTGGTTCCCGAAAACACTATTTCCGCACCCTCGCCGTGGACCTTGCGATATAAAGCTGAGATACAGGGCATCCATTGCGCGAGGATGTGGGACACTATTGTTCGGAACGGACCGGATGATGATGTCGGTCTTACATCGTAGCAAGTCTAGTTCTTGCCTTCGAATAGCCCTCTAAGGAGGCTGTGCTGTTGGGTGTAAGAAGCGAGCGATATGGGCCTCGAAATCTCAGTATGAGTCTCCTTGAGGGGGAGGTTATCTTTGAAGGGGCATTTGCTCAAGGAGATGCACACCATGCATCTGCATCGTTATGAGGCAATATCCATTGGCTACAGGAGAACAGAGGTCCCAGCGCCAGTCTAAGAACTTTTACGCCTGTTGGGAGGACCAAAAACTGGAAGTTCGGGCACAGTTCCTCAATTGTGAGCACGCTCTTAAGCGTATTATGTTCCATTCCATCTCGTTCTCCGACTTGGGATCCATGACATTAGCGCAGATGCCGTTGTTACCAGTTTTTAGACAAGAGACCAGAGGTAGCTTATAGGACGGCGTTTACTGCATCCTAGGCTTCATTTAACCCACTGTGGGGACCATGAGATTTGAACCACAAGATATTAGACTCTCCGAGTACAGTGAAGAGTAGTATCTGTTTTATTGATTGGTGTATTGATCAATACCTAGCTCTTTACGATGGTTAGTAGGAGAGTTTAAGCATTTCTTAAGCCAACCATGGAGGGTAGTATCAAGATGCCACGCCACTAGTAAACGCACTAAATCTGCACCACCGCTCTGACCCCACTTTGTTCCAAGGCAGTCCTGCTCTCTGCGCTTAGCATCTCCGAGGCCACCTTCCATGGCCCTTTTCTGCTTTGGACGTATAACCTTGGCTTGCTATGCTGTCAGTAGTCCTCAGGTCTGCCGGGCCAATATATCTGAATCAGTTAACTTTACCATTTCCCGGTTGCGCTAATGGAAGATGTTCTGATTGTGCTATGATTAGTGGTTGAATATCATAAGGTTCCCCGCAGCTTATTATGGTCAAGGAGCCCAGGGAATGGTCAAAGTCCATGAAAACAACCCTAACCCAGAAACTATATGGTAAAGAGACAAATACCGCCATTTATATCTTGAGTCCACCCGGGGCCCTTAAGACGTACACAATAGGTGTCGGCTCAGTCTTACCCCAAGATTCATTTACATCGGGGGTCCTGAAGAAGCATTCTTATCTAACCAAGCTGACCAACCGGATAGCGAAGGATAGCAATGCATTGCATCGGTGTCGAGACCCACAGATCTGAGCCCCATACCTCGTCTACCGGATATCAACGGTAATGGTTTATCCAAAAGCTTACACCCCAGAGATCCAATACTCCAGTCCTATGACATCGGGATTCGGGTTTCGTTCACCGAGCTCAACTGCGTGGTGATGGAGACATCCTGCTATAGCATGCATCCGTGACTAGACCGGTGTGTGGCTTTCTTCTCCAATATTTTGTAGTGGAGATAGCTGGTGACGCCATTGGCAGTGAGACGACGTGATACAGGAGCAGCTTTCGAGAGCCGAATTAACTCCGATTGCCCCCCCTGGTGCCATTGATCATCCCATATCTGACCTTCGACGGGTAGCACGGATGGGACTCCCGTGTCGACCACAGACCGCCTTCACTTTATTGAGGCCAATGCCGCTATGTAACGAGATTGTTCATGTCAATTAGATCGATGAGATCGAGGTCCCCGCCATTGGGATATGCATGTACTCATCTGACGTCTGAGTTGGCAATGCGTCGGGATTGTACTGCCAAACGGGTGGGAAATGCTGAGCAGCTCGATCGACAGTAATCCATCCAGCAAGGGGGAAAATAAATAAAGTGGACCATTCTAGAACGCAGGTCTCCATTTAAAGTGACATAATAAGAACGGGAATCTTCTGTTATTCCCGACGTCGGGAATAAAGTGGATCTCCCCTATCAATATCACCATTGTTAGGGTTGACTCATTCCCGACCGTGGGATATTTTTCATTTCTATAAATTTATCTATCCCCAATCATCTGTTATGTTTTTAAAACCTCCCTGCTCTATAGCAATTGACTTTAAGATTCCGTGGTTGTTCCAGAAAAGAAAAATGCCTGCCTCCTGTCCAGAGACCGAGGTTCTGCCTCAATATAGCTTTACCGACGACTACAGCGAAGGAGCCCACCCACAATTACTCGAAGCCCTTCTACGCACGAATTCCACTCAACAAGTTTCCTACGGTTATGATGAATACAGCAACGAAGCTCGCCGGTTAATCCGGACACGACTACAAGCTACCGAAGATGAGGTAGCCATCCACTTCGTGCCTAGCGGCACCTCCGCCAACCTGATCTGCATCGCCAGCTGTCTACGGCCCTATGAGGCCGTATTAACAGTAGACACGGGCCACATCGTCAGCAAAGAAGCCGGAGCCATTGAAGCCACCGGTCACAAGACCATCGTCGTGCCGGGTGTAAGAGGCAAAATGACCCCCGAGAATCTGGACCGAGCAGTCCGCCAGAACCAATTCTTCCCCCACAACGCTAAGCCCCGTTTGGTGTATATCTCCAACGCCACCGAGCTGGGAACAGTCTACACCAAACGCGAACTCCAAGAACTCTCCGCCGTGTGCAAACGGTGGAAGCTACTACTGCTCATGGACGGCGCCCGCATCGGAGTCGCCCTCAGCGCGCCGTCCAATGATCTCACACTCCGTGACTTGGTCGACCTCCTAGATATCTTCTGGATCGGGGGTACGAAAATGGGAGCACTCCTGGGAGAAGCGATCGTCGTAAGAAGCCATCTAGCCGAGGACTTCATTTTCCACTTGAAACAACACGGAGCCTTGCTGGCCAAGTCTCGCGTTATGGGCGTGCAATTCGCAGAGCTGTTCCGGGAGAACCTCTTCTTTGATCTTGCGACACATGCCAATGCCATGGCGCAGCGTATCTCGGCGAACTTTGAGAAATTGGGTTATTTGTTGGCTGCGCCGACGGATACGAATCAGGTTTTTGTCACTTTGCCTATGGCGTTGGTCAGACGACTGGAGGAACGGTTCCGGTTTTATACCTGGGATCCGTTGGATGGGGAGCAGGCTGTTGTTAGGCTTGTTACCTCTTGGGCGACGGAGCCGTTGGAGGTGGATAAGTTTAATGCGTGGGTTCAGCAGTGGACGTCTGTTTGATGGCATTTTCTGGAGCGAATTGCATGTTTTCTTTTTTGATGCCGCATTTTTTTGTCGGGTTGGGAGCGCATTTATGAGCGTTATAGATTTTAATATGACTAATATCTTCATGACTGAACCATGTGTGCTATGGCTCTTTGCAGTATCAATAGGACTATATGGGCTTTGAGTTATTTTGTAGTGTTCCCCTCCGACTTTCAGGACTATTATAGACCCTAGAGGTATGTACTTCTGGTTACCAAGCTAAAACTAAGCAGGTGAATATTTTCATAGCAGTAGCAATACGACCAACGTGGTTCTTTAGCAAGGTACATACATTTCATAGATACAATGCCCAACATGCCAAGCAAAACATTGTAAAAGATAGCTTACTACCAAATTCGGAAGTGAAGGGCATCTTTTGTGGGTAAATGAGTTGAAACATGAATCAACAGCATTGACTAGCCCCCGAGCTACATAGACTCTAGTAAAATATCCCAATTTTCTATCAATGTTCTTTAAAATCTGGTATGACCATTCAATATATGATATCGATGCCTCCAATAGTCATTGATATCACGAAAGCTTCATATAGAATATCATGCCAATTCTTTACCCAGCTTCTCCAGATATTGTCTCGCTGCATCCACGACAGCATCCTCGAACGAGCGGAGCCTTCTGCCCAGTCTCTTCTCCGTCTCACTCGAATCGTAGGCAATAGGCAAAGTAGCCAGCTTTCCACGCTTAAATGTCCCATCTGCAACCGCATTGGGGAAGGCCTTCTCAATATAACCAAAGATAACAGAGTAATCAATGTTGGTACAAGCACCGAAATTACTAGGAGTTTCCGGTCCTGGCTCAAGACACAGTACCTTCAAATGAACAGCGGCCAAGTCATCAATATGGACATAGCCACCATGCAGCGGAAACGGAATCTCTTTGCCCGTTATACAGGCCATCAGGTACATGTTTGAGCTATTTTCCTGAAGGACCTGGTCCGCAGTAAGAGCCAACTCGTTGCGTCCGAAGACATAGCCGGGCATGATATGTGCCACACTAAAATGGGGATTGTTATTTTCAACGAACGCGTCTGTCTGATTTGCTTCAGTGATTTTGGCCAATGCGTATGCTTCGAACAGATTGGGGAAGCCTGTTGGAGGAGGACCGGGTAAGTGGACCCGTGATGCGGCAGTGACAGTGGTAAATGGGTCGGGGATTGGGGGCATGTTTCCGACGATTGAGGATGTGATCACGATTCGCTTGATGCTTGGGACTTTCATCGCTGAGGCCAGAAGGTTGGATACGCCTTTGATTGTGGGCTCCCATACTTGCGTGACTGGGTCGAATCCGGGGACTGGCACTGGTGAGCCCACTGAATCACGTATGTAACGTCCTGTAGCGCGGCGTCAAAGGCGCCGTCTACTGTTGTATCGGGCATGATGATGGATGACAGTCGGTCCCCAGGACTAAGGGCCTGGATGAGGGGGTTGGATGTGACTTTCTCAGCTTTTTCGCCAGAGCGAGCTGTAAAGCGGACGTTGTATCCATTGTTCAGTGCTTCCAAGAGTACTCGGAAGCCAATGAGTCCGGTAGCACCGGTTATGAGCACAAGAGGGGCCATTGCGTGTTTACAGGATATAGACCTTTGCTGTGGAAGGAAGTATGGAGGAGCATACACGCACTGTTGGCACGTCGTTGTAGAAAATTTGTGAGAAATGAATCAACAGTCATCTACATTGCACCTATATTTATACCTCTCTATGGATGGATTTACCGCGTTATAATTGAGATCTAATATCGCCAGCCTTTCCTTTTTCAGTATAGTGCAATTATTGAAAGCTGTCATGATTGGCTACGTCGTCAACGCTGGTCAGGCCAAATTCATATTCCAGACTAATCTTGAGTTGTTGGGATCGTCATTTTTCTTCTACATCGCCTCAGTCTATTTGACTGGCACTTGTATACTGGTCCCAGTTATTATATCTTGTAATCCAGTAGGACATCAATGCTCCGAGATACCAGGAATAAAATTGGTCGACACTCAACCAACAATGCAAAGTATAGTTGGTTTCCCCGCACTAAGTCGAGGTCGATTGTCAGCCTCGCGGTCAGCCAGCTCATGACACAACTTTCCTTTCTCCCAGCCTGTGGGCTATCCGTTTTTCCACTTAACGCGCAGCCATGGAGTCCGTTGGCCTTGCAGTCGGAGTCGTTGGACTGTTCGGGCTCTTCAATACTTGCATAGACGTGGTCAAGAAGTATGATTCATGGAAGGACTTTGGAAGCGAGTCACATTGTTTGACCGCTCAATTTGAGGTGCAAAAACTTCGCCTACAGAAATGGGGCGAAGCAGTGGGAGTTGAACATGAGAGTGTATCGAGTAAGCACCACGAGCTTCTCGATGATCCACGAACACGATCGAATATTCAAAACCTGCTTTTAGCTATCAAAGAGATCTGTGGGCAGGAATATGCTCTTTCCTCGACACCCCTATCAAGAGCCGAGACCGGCTCATTCGAGGGCCCAATGTTCAGGAAACACGGTCATTCGATCACCTCGCGCAGGTCTAAACGGCAAAGGTTCAACTGGGCCTTAAGAGGCAAGGAAAAACGCATCGCACAGGTTGCACAGTTTTCATCACTGGTGGATGACCTCCATAGCTTGGTCCCTATCGATGGTGACAAGGGTGAAGGATCGAAGGAGACTAGTGGTATGAAACAGCCTTGATATATTCGCCACCAGAAGAGATTGACTGTTAGACATAGGCAAATTTGGAGATGAGGGGTCTTGGACGGTGGAATTTAAACACCTGATAGAGCGGATTGAACACGACCATGAAGGTAGATATGTCTTTCCTCTCTGGCTCTTGAATGCTTACTCATAAGTGAAGTCGAGACAAGGCGGCATATACAGACCTGGCTACTAGGTGATTATTTTCCAAATGAGCGTTACGAGATATATGTGGAAAGAAGAGTCGAAGGCTCCTGCCAATGGGTTCTAGACCGACCCTGGTTTCTCCACTGGTCCTCCCCCGATTTCCCCTCTGGACGGGCCAAGTTTCTATGGATTAACGGCCCTGCGGGGTTTGGAAAATCTATACTGTGTGCGAAGATAACCGAACATTTGCTGCTCACATTGGACACGCCTACTGCCCACTTCTTCTTTTCGTCGGACTTCGAACGCAGAGACCCATTTATAGTAATGAGATCATGGTTATCTCAGCTGATGTCTCACACGAGGGCATTCAGATCTGTTCGTGAAAAGTGGGAAACAACGCAAGGACAGAGAGCAGCACGCGGGGACGTTCTCAGCATGCTCCAAGAAATTGTATCGGCCGTCCCCGGGTGCACATTCATTCTGGATGGATTAGATGAATGTGATTGGGTGAAAGGATCCTGGCCAGGAAACAGCGACGACTCCATTACTAGCTTTCTCAGAACACTAAGACGAGCGACCACGGGAACATCCACGCGGATCATGATTATTAGCCGGGATGAGCCAGAAATTCGACGTGGTCTTTCAAACAGCGGTGCCTATGACCCGGGGTTTGAGCACCGGATCACACCCGAGGATGTCCAAAACGATATTCTGACGTATTCTAGACGTATTGTAGAGGAGAAATTGTCGATGAAGAGCAATGAAGCAAAGGACGAGATCACAAAGAAACTGGCCGATCGCTGTAACGGACAGTTCTTATGGATCAGGCTGCAGCAAGATACTCTGCGCGGCGGCAAAAGCCAAAGGAAGCTTGAGCACGTCATCAACTCCACTCCATCTGGGATTGAACACATATACGAACGAAACTGGATGAAGATTATGCGACTCACAGAGGAAGACAGAAACCGAGCGTTCTCCCTCCTACGCTGGACCGCATTCAGCCTACGTCCGCTGACAATTAGTGAGATATCTGGGGCACTAGTCATCAACGAAGATGATGATGAACTTCTGCTGGATGATTTGCCGGACTGCATCGACGAGGACTACGTGAATACTGAGATAATAGGTCTCTGTGGGTCTCTTTTAGATGTCCGCAGCCCTCAAGGTAAAAGCGATGCTAGATTGAAGACCGTGCATCTGGCACATTTCTCAGTGAAGGAGTACTTGCTCCGCAATCTTCCGATCGAAGGTAAAATTCTGCAGCTTAATGCGGCACTCACCTCATCTACTGAGGTCATCGAGAATACGATAATTGCCAAGAAGTGCCTCCGCTTTGTGGATAGCCAAGAAGTCTGGCTTGGGACCTCTGCAGTACAGGTCGAAGAGGCTCTAAGCGCCTTTCGAAACTATGCGGCCGGATCTTGGTACCAACATGCCAAGCTGGGCGACATGGGCGATACTGAGCTGATGAGTTCGATCACTACCCTCTTTGACCTAAGCAACCCAAACTGGGCTTCGTGGAAAGCGTGGTTTGACGTATATGGCACGAAGGCTGAGCAGAATACGACATGCGGAGTCGCAACAGCTGGCCCCTTATACTACGCAGCCTGGTTTGGACTTACAGATACTGTGGCCTTTTTGGTCCGTGAACTCAAGTCTAGCATAAATGACAAGGGCTATTATGGGCAGACACCCCTGTGGGTAGCCAGCGAGGAGGGGAATTTCGAGATTGTTAGAACTCTCCTTGAGCAAGGGGCGGATGTCGCGATGGCAAACATTGACGGGTGCACCCCATTATATACCGCATCACGCAGCGGCCACACGGAACTGGTCAGGCTGCTTATAGAATTTGGTGCAAATCCCAACACCTCCAGTAACAATGGGTGGACTCCAGTTAATGTGGCATCTGACTGGGGGCACGTTGAGTTAGTGATGTTACTTCTTGACCATGGTGCAGACCCCACAGCTGGTTCTGATGGCTGGAGCTCAGCTACCGCTGCCTCTCTGGGCGGTCGTACTGAGATAGTAAAGCTACTTCTTGAGCATGGTACAGATATCAATATCGCGAGTGCGAACGGATGGACACCGCTCAATCTTGCCTCGTACTGTGGCCATACCAGGCTAGTGGAATTACTTCTTGAGCATGGGGCAGATATCAATATTGCGAGCGCGAACGGATGGACACCAATTACTATAGCCGCTTACAATAGCCATACGAGAATAGTCGAGTTACTGCTTGAGCATGGTGCAGATATCTCTACTGTAGCGGACGACGGAATGACATCAATCAATTTAGCCGCTTACAGTGGTAATACCAAGATAGTGGAGTTGCTTCTCGAGTTGGGTGCGGACATTGAAAATGTCAGTATAGACGGAAACACGCCTCTATTACTGTCCTCAGTGGAAGGCCACACAGCTACGGTTAAGCTGCTTGTTGAAATGGGGGCCGACCCTGAAGCAAAGAATAATCAAGGAAGTTCTCCGCTGATGTATGCCTCACTGAATGGCCATCTTGAAATTGCTAAATTGCTCCTTGAACATGATACCAATGTTGAGGCGAGGGATACTGATGGACGGACGCCGCTAATTTATGCCTCCATTAACGGTCATATTGAGGTGACCAAGTCACTTCTTGAACAGGATGCCAACATTGAGGTGAAGGATGCTCGTGGACGTACGCCGCTTATGTATGCCTCACTGAAGGGTCATATTGAGTTTGTCAAATTACTTCTCCAACAGGATGCAAATGTTGAGACTAAGGATACTCGTGGAAATACGGCCCTAATGCATGCTTCACTGAATGGTCATATTGAGGTGGTCAAGTTCCTCCTTAAGCATGGTGCTGAAGTCGGTGCAAAGGATAGCCTTGGGAATACACCATTAATGTTGGCCTCATCCTCCGGCCATGCTGAGGTTGTCGAACTGCTTCTACAGAAGAGTGCGGAACTTACACATTGTGAAATAACTGGAACTACCTCACTACATGCAGCTGCATATAATGGCCATGTGAAAATAGTTGAAATACTCCTTCAGACGTCAAGCACCCATGTCGACGCCTTGGATCAACTGAACCGAACATCCCTATTCCAAGCCGCTGCCCGGGGCCACCTTGATGTGGTAAATGTTCTTCTTTCGCATAAGGCAAATGCGAATTTCAAAGATCGCTATCGCTCCACGGCTCTTTTTGCGGCAGTCAGAAACGGGCACAAGGGCGTTGCCGAACGGTTGATCTCACTGGCAGACTACTCCATTCACTTCCATGATGACCTGGGCCAAACTTTGCTCTGGTGGGCGGCAAGATCTGGGAACATCGAAATCGTTGAGCTGATACTTCGCTGGGCCAAAGAACATAATATTGAGGCTGGTGGAAGTGACCTGAAGGTGGAAGGGTTTTTGGTCAAGCCGGGTCAGCCTTCTAGGTACTGTGATGTGTGCATTCGATATCTACCCGCCAACATGGCCTACTACAAGTGCAAGACCTGCTTCGATTTTGATATCTGCTCAGAGTGTTTTGACATCGGGGCTCGATGCCTGAGCCTTTCTCACGAGTGGACCATTCATCGGCTTGAGGACCCGACCTGAATTTCCGCTCATTACACTAAGTCAAGTGGATCCGAACCAAAGAGCAAAGTCAATGAAGACAGAGAAGGGAATAGGAACAGAATAGTAATAGAAACAAGAAAGGAAGTAAAGACAGATTCAGATCAAGACAATATATATATTGGTATCATCCCTTACATAGGG